GTTTGGTTACGTTTGGTGCATATACATATGTTACATTTGTCTTGTGGTTGAGCGTATATATATTTTTTTTTGGTTTCCGTGCAAAGTTGGACGTGAATTTATTTAAAGATTTGTTTTTTTTATTTTTACTACTATATTCATATTTATTTATTCCAATTCACATATTTATCTATTTATTGTTGTACCTATTTATTTATTTATTTATCCATCATACATATTCAGCGTACATATATTTTCTCGCCCATTTGTTTTTGTTGTTTTGGGCGTTTGCAAACATTTTCATTGTTTGGAATACATATATACAATTATCCAATTAATACGATTTTTTCTTCGGGGCCTGCTGGAAAGCTGAACAAATTCATAATCCAAAATATAAATAAATATTATAAAAAAACAGAGCGTATTTTTTTTTGGATTGAGATGGAAAAGGATTCTGCGCGTGCGTATAACACCAGGTCGAGAACGGCCAGAAATGATGATCCAGTGCTGGAGGAACACCTAGAAGGAGCCGTAGGTTTTTCCACCGGTGGCCTCATGCACACTCCTCCGAGGCCGTCCATAGCACCAGCAGTACACTGGGACGCCGAGCCAGTAGTCGCGTCGGTGGTAGAAGCAGCAGTGGCCCAGGCGAACGAAACATACCGCCAATCGCAAAAAGAGGGCATCAACAAAGTGTTGCAGGAGGAAATCCGAATGGGGTTTCAAGACTTGATGGGCGCGTTGAAAGAAGTTTTGCAACCGCGAGCGAATAGCGGCGATTCAGCTGCAAATGGAGCATGGCAACCGCCAGTCAGCCAGAATCGGGGTGCGGTGCCAAAACGGCCGCATCAATACCAGGCTGAACCTCTAACACCAGCAAGAGGAACTTCGCGTCCAGTAGCAAGGCCAGCGGCAGCTAATTCCTCCAGTGGAGCTGGCAATAGCAGCAACACAGCTCGAAATTGGCAAAATCCCGCAGCACAGTCGGCCCGTCGAAGAGGCAACAGGCGTTACGATGGGAGTGGTCAGCTGGACCCGCCTCCTCCGTATGTAGCGGCGAATGGCAGATCCGGATGGTGCCGCGTCGAAAAGTGGGACATCGTTTTCAGCGGCGATAAGGAAAAAATGGCTGTTGAAGACTTCGTTTTCCAGGTCGAGTTCCTTCAGAGACAGTGTCGCTGCGCATGGTCCGAAGTATTAAACAGTTTCCATCTGTTAGTAACTGGGCACGCTCGCGAGTGGTACTGGCAGTACGTCAGGGACCACCGGGCAGACAGCTGGCCAGAACTAAAACGAAGCATGCTGTCCCGTTTTAAAGGCGCCGCCGATGAATTCGAGCGCATGCGTCAATTGCGCGAAAGACGGCAGAAGGCAAGCGAAAGCGTTGAGGAGTACTTCCATGCCATGAGGAAACTGGCGTCGCGTCTCCACACAGCACCATCTGAAAACGAGATGATGAAATATATAAAAAAAGGATTAAAAATAGAACTAGCTCGTTATGTGTATGCGATGCGCGTGTACACGGTAGACCACTTACGTGACGAATGCGTAGAGGTGGAAGCTATGGTCCAGCGGCGAGAAGGCGTGTTCCCAACACGCAGCGGCACACGTTTTAGTGGCGGAAACCGTCCACCGGCAGTGGAGGAGTTGATCGACGACACTAACGGCGAGGAGTCGGCGGATTTCGGCGTAGTTGAAGAGGCGCGTTTGGCAAGGCGTCCGCAACAGGCGTTAGTTTGCTGGAACTGCAGACAAGCCGGCCATAGTTTCCGCGACTGCATGTCACCGGAAAGGCGCGTCTTCTGTTATAGGTGTGGCAGGCCCGACACCTATAGTCCAACCTGTCCCGATTGCATGGGAAACGGCCGTCGGAGTGCGGAGCAAGTGGGCGAATCGCGCTCGACACAGGTGCCCACCAGGATGACAGCGGAGCGGTCCTGAAAGAAGAATTTCATAAGAAAAATACCCCATATAGTAATAAGTTGAAATTTTTAACGTACGAGGAAAAGATGCGGGCATATCTGGAGGCGCGTAATAGAATTTTTGCCCAACATCAGTTAGATGGGATGAGGATGGTGACAGCCAAAGTTAAAAAGGCCCGAGCACGATTCCGAGTGAGAAGGCAGACGAAGAAGCTGGTAGCCGAGGCAGTGCGACGCGAAGGAGCAGCAGATCCGAGGATTTTTGCCGAAGTACTGGTACGAGGCCATGTGCTACGCGGTTTGCTGGATACCGGGGCCTCGGTAAGCGTGCTAGGCAAGGGCAGTCTGGAACTGCTGAAAGAGATTGGCATGGTGCCCAGAAATTACATTTCGATAATTAAAACAGCAGGCGGTGAAGACAGAGCCGTAATTGGGCGAGTGCGTTTACCAGTGGTGTATCGAGAAGAGGCCAAAGAAGTGGAATTTTACGTATGCCCATCACTCGAACAGAACGCGTATTTCGGCATCGACTTTTGGCGGCTGTTTAATTTGGCACCACTATTAATTCCTCCGGAAAAGCCAGACGTTAAAAGACTTGTCCTCGATGAATTGCTAGCTGATAGAGTGGCGCATTATGCGGACCAGGATGAAGTAAGGCCTGAACCAGATATGTGGAAATTGAATGAACAACAAAAGCTGCAATTGGAACAAGTAAAAAAAGAATTTTTAACCTTCGAAGAAGCGGGATTAGGCAAGACTACTTTGGAGACTCACCGAATTGAATTGGTCAGCGGAGCAGAGCCAGTGAAAGACAGGCACTACCCTCTATCACCCGCTATGCAGAAGATTGTGTGGGATGAGGTGGACAGCATGCTGGCGCTTGGCGTCATCGAGGTAAGCGATAGTCCGTGGAGTAACCGCACCACCATAGTGCGACGGCCGGGCAAGAACCGCTTTTGCCTCGATGCCCGCAAGTTGAACAAACTGACAGTCAAAGATGCCTATCCGCTACCATGCGTGGAGGGAATCCTATCTGGAATCGATCAGACATATTATATTTCCAGTGTGGACCTGAAATTTGCGTTTTGGCAGGTGGAGTTGGAGGAGTCCAGTAGAAGGTGCACTGCGTTTACGGTACCAGGGCGACCGTTGTACCAATTCCGCATGATGCCTTTCGGGTTGTGTAACGCCGCTCAAAGGTTGTGCCGGCTGATGGACAAGGTCATACCGAATGAACTGAGGTCCAACGTTAAAGTATATCTGGACGATTTGGTAGTCTTCGCGGCTGATTTTGATACGCACTTGGAGTACCTGAAGAGGGTAGCTGAATGCCTCAAGAAGGCAAACCTGACGATAGGGTTACAAAAGTCGAAGTTTTGCTTTAAAACGTTGAAATACCTGGGATTTATCGTGGGCGGCGGCGTGCTTCGAACAGATCCAGAACGGGTGCAGGCGATACAGCGCATACAGGTGCCAAGGTCCGTAAAGGAGGTTCGAGCTTTCTTAGGAACCGCCGGGTGGTACAGGCGATTTATTAAAGATTTTGCCACCTTAGCGGCTCCGCTCACTGAGGCTTTGAAAAAGCGATCGGGAGGTAGGTTCTCACTCGGTGGCGAAGCGATTGCAGCATTTGAGGCGTTGAAGAAGGCGCTCACATCTGCGCCAGTGCTGGTACACGCGGATTTTTCACGCCCATTTTTTGTACAATGTGACGCATCCCATATTGGCGTCGGAGCCGTATTATTCCAGGTGGATTTGCAGGGAAACGAGAGGCCCATTGCGTTCTTTTCTGCCAAGATGAACAAGCACCAGGTGAACTACTCGGTGACCGAGAAGGAGTGCTTGGCGGCGGTATTGGCGATACAAAAATTCCGGCCATACATCGAAATGATGCCATTCACAGTCATAACCGATCACGCCAGTTTGAAATGGCTGATGTCCATGAAGGATTTGTCCGGGCGATTGGCTCGTTGGTCGTTGCTGCTCCAGGGCTTCGACTTTGAAATCACGCACCGGAAGGGCTCCGACAACATCGTGGCGGATATGCTGTCCAGAAGCACCGAAGCCGAAACTTTAGAGGAGTTGGATTTCTTCCCAGGAGACCTGTTGGGTATAGAAACCGCAGAATTCGAATCAGAGGAGTATCGGGAGCTGATTAGCGAAATTCAAAGTCAAAAAGATAAATTACCTGATTTAAAAATTGAAAACGGGGTGATCTACAAAAAGACATCCTTCAATCGGCTAGAAGATCAGCTCGAAGGCAGTGTGTGGAAACTGTGGGTTCCGCGTTCGCTAACCGGCATGCTTATATCGAAGGCCCATACCGAAGCGTCAACGCATGGAGGAGTGTTGAAGACGTTGTCCTGGTTGCGGCGGCAGTTTTATTGGCCGGGAATGGCCAAAGACGTTGCTGAAGTGGTCCGAAAATGCGTGGTCTGCAAAGAGACGAAAGCCACCAATTACGGGATGCAGGTGGGAATTGGTGCAGAAGTCGTCACGGAGAGGCCGTTCCAGAAGTTATACATAGACTTCTTGGGCAAGTATCCGCGATCAAGGAAGGGGCACGCCTTCATATTCATAGTGGTAGATCACTTCACCAAATTCACGTTCCTGAAGGCGATGCGAGAGGCCACCACTCGGAGCGTCGTCGACTTCTTGGTGAACGAAGTGTTCCATACGTTCGGCGTTCCAGAAGTCATACACTCCGATAATGGTAAGCAATTCACGTCCAAGCAGTTTGCAGACATGATGGAGGGCTACGGTGTTAAGCATCTGCGGACACCGGTGTATTCGCCGCAAAGCAACGCGTCCGAAAGGGTGAACCGGACTATACTGTCCGCGATACGGGCGTATCTGGGGCAGGATCACCGCGAGTGGGACCTACACCTTCCGGAAATTGAAGTGGCCATCAGAAACAGCGTGCATTCTGCGACTGGAGTAACGCCTTTTTTCGCACTATTCGGCCGACATATGATGTTGCACGGTTCGCAGTACCGATTGGCGAGGAAATTAAGGTCCTTAGACGAGCACGAATTCGCAGCGTTGAGTACAGCAGACAGGCAATCCCTGTTGCAACAGAAAATCCAGGCACAATTGCATGCGGCGTATGAGCGTAGTAGCGTTCGCTATAACCGGCGTGCGCGGCGGCTAAGACTAGCGCCCGGCCAGGAGGTATACCGGCGAAACTTTGCATTGAGTGATTTCAGCCGCGCGTTCAATGCGAAATTCGCGCGGAAATTTCTAAAAGCTCGCGTAAGGAAATCCATCGGCACCAACGCATACGAGCTGGAAGATTTGCAAGGGAACTTGCTGGGGGTATTCCACGCAAAGGATATCCGAGTGTGACGCCTGTCCTAAGGCAGAATGGATGAATATAGGGAGGAGGATGCAGCCAGAGCTACTCACCTGAAGATCAAGAGTGGGTGTGGCCTACGTTGGGCGCCGCGGTAGTAGTCATCCGAGGCAACGCCGGACTCGAAGCAGAGGACTCCAACAACACCAGCCGTTTGATGCGCGCAAACATCACTTCGGGGCACGAGCGTCCGCCCACTTGGATATTTGCGGTGGTGTTGCATCGGGCTGGTCACGAAGAATAAAAGGTGGCAGCGCTACGGAAGGCGCCAAGAATTTATAAAGGTACTGCAGCGCCATCTAGCGGTACCGAGCGAGGCACCATGGTGGCAACTGCAGCCACGCAGGCGCAGGGTTGTGTCCCGATGGCACCTCAAAGTGGGGAAACGTCAAGGCCGTGATGAACGGATGCGCAAGGACGTAAAAATCCGCAGGCATGCGACATCCGGCCTATAAAAGGCAAGCCGCAACACGCCATTCCTGTTTTTGGGGCGACGGTGCAGACCCACGAGGCAGTGTTTTCTTTTGGTGAACTGGAGGCCGTGCTGAAACCTGAAAAAGGAAAGGAAGAACCAGAAGCCGTTCGAAGATTTTCCGGCATATCGCCAAGTTTTCGGACAGCGGTGGAACCATACACAGCAGCTGCAGCGGCCGTCATAAGTAGCAGCACGAGCCGCATCGTAGCAGGAGCAACAGCGACAGCAGCAGATCCAGCACCAGCGTCTTCAACGACAGCAGCAGATCCAGCACCAGCGTTTTCAACGGCAGCAGCAGCAACGACAGTGGCAGCCGGAGCAAAGGCGCCCACCCAAGAAGTGGCAGCAGCAATAGCGGCGCCACCACAACGCAACAGCAGACACGTCCGTCTGCGCCATCAGCAGCGGAGGATAGACAAGCCGGTGAGTCCGTTCCTTGGCCACGCGCCGTGCCTATTGTTCGCGGTTGAGCAGCGACATCAGGCAGAGATCCCGCGCGCCTTACGTCGTGTCGTTTGTATGGGCTGCGCCTGCAGGGTCCCACACGCCGCCCATTGAAGTTTCTGCAAAAGAGAAAAAAAAGAAGATAAAACAAAATATATATACATAGATCATTAAAACCAAAACGAGGCAGAAAGTGGCACCTAGACAGAGCTTGGCGCTCTATTTAATTAATAAAAAATTCACACTCTTATACACTTATATTGTACGAAGATTGCCAATTGCAGTAGCGCGCAGTGTTTTATATGTATTCTTATATTTCTATTGCGCCCATGACCGTCGAGAGCTCTCGTTAGGATTTGGTTAGACATTTTTCTATAATTTTTGTACCGCGCATATTTTTATCATACACATACACATATATCTATATATGTACATATTTATTTGCCATAAACATACTTGCATGTTGGCGCACATAAAGAACCGCATTGGCCGTTGGCAAGCCTTCTTTATTTTGTTTTTATATAAAAATTATTGTTCCATATTTACATTGTTTTCACTCACACTCAATCACACTGAAATATATGTATGTTTGTAGCCACATAAACTGAAAATTAATTGTTAATTTTAATGGTCGCACCGTTGGTGATGATGCATTAAAGCAGCATCAGTAGGGGCGGGAGACTCACCTTTGCCATGGAATAGCCCAAGCACGGCCCAAATTAAGGGTATCCAAGAAACATTTTGCCTTTGGATACAGGCAGGGTGGGTACGCCGGGGATAACAACAGCAAAATCCCACACAGTTGTCCGATGCCACAATTTCTGTCCGTCCGCACGTATATAATCTCCTTTTATTCGTATCCGTATTCGTACGGATAGCTTGAGGGAGTTATCCGTTTATTTGTTTTTTTTGTCGCATTACGTTTCTTTTAGTTTATGTTAGTTTTTTTTGGTTTGTTTACGTTTTGAATTCGGTTTTGTATATTGCGCGTCGAATTTATTGTAGTGACGGCATTTTGTTTATCGATGGAGTAACCGTGTTATCGGTTATTGTACGACTCACGCGGGCATAGGGTTGGAACCACACACCCAAGGAGAATTCCGATGAGCCAGTCGGCGTTGCCCAAGAGGAAAAGCGTAGTCGTAACATATATATTATAAATTTCTAATAGAACAAAACACATACACATTTGAACATTTGTAGAAACATTTAAAATATATTAATTTTAAAAAATTATGCAAATATAATGCGAGGTAGGTGTAGGTATAGCCCTGACATTCATAAATGAATATTTTCTAAGGTAAAATATATAGCCATTCATTCCATTAACAAACACATATAGTATATAGTTTGGACAACATTTAATTGCTTTTGATGTGCAAACATACATACATATGTACATATGTATGTAAATATATAAAAATATATGTACATGTGTCGAAGCACCAGGTAAACCTACTACTATCTGCTACTTCTAGTATGTGCTTTTTGTTGGTAGTGGCGATTACAACAAATATATTGTGAGAGGAGATCTATCGCGAAGCCATAGTGTTGTTCCATACTTACCGGAGACGAATTTTGGTTGCATTAATGCAGTCCTTTAATATGTATATACAAGTATTGTATTAATACATAGAAGTGTGCTTTTATGGCATTATTAAGTCGTGTTTGTTTATACACAACGCAGGTTTTTAATTTATTTTTATACCCTACACTGGAAAGGTTAAGAAGGCATATTTAGGTTTTTACAAAGTATGTATGAGGTATGTATGTGTATATTCTAATTCAACATGGCGGGACAAATTGGTCTAGACCGGATAGACAGTTGAAGCCCCGCATTGAGAATATCATTTAAAAAGTGCTGGAAAACATCAGCTGCGTCCCGAATGTCCAAATATGCCAAAATTATGTATATAATAGAGCTAGAAATGAGAAGTCACACGGTTGTTTCTGGAACCAATCCGCAGCTTGCATATAAATTTCTTAATCCTATTTCATTCAAATCGGTCAAAGCGAAGCAATTACATATTCAAACATATGTATGTACTTCAGTCCTACGCCCCCCTATGCTCCCCTATGCGCTCCGATAACAACGAATACAACATGGATTTTTGTTGTCGGACTTTCTCGACTATAACTTTCTATCTTGTTATTTGTATACCCTATACCTGAAGGATAAACTGTTTGCAACACACTGATGAAGGCGTGGCATGGCCCCAAAGTATAAATATTCTTGATCAGGATAACAAGACATGTCCATATAGCCATGTCAGTCTGTAGAAACGCAAGGATCTCGGAAAGTAGACGAGCTAGAATATCCAAACTTTTCACAGTTTCCGTAAATATTAGATATTTGACACAAATTACAAAAAGATCCTGTTAGTGCTGAGCAAACTCCTAAGAAATCACTTTGTAAAGCCAAAAGCATACATACATATGTATGTAACTCTAGGAACCTGGTATCAATTAGCAATATTACGTAACATAATTCTCACAAATACCGTGACAAAGTTAGCAACAAGAAAATGCCACTAAAATTAATTCAAATGAATATAAGAGTATATACAGATATACATACATAGATATGTACATACAGACATTTATATTTGTAAAACCAAACTTTCGCGATATCTCTTCAACATACGATTATTGTATTATTATTATTGAGATACATATGTATGTATGTACATATGTATGTATGTTTGATAGAAAAGTGCAAAAGTACAAAAAGGAGAATCATCTACAAATTGCTCGAAGCATTTCTGTCCAACAAACTTGTATATATATATAGTATATCTTACGTAATTTAAGGTACATATAATTGGTATATACATATGTATGTATGGCTGTGTGTATGTGCATATGTATGTATGTCATATGTCTATGACTAGAGGGCTGACTATATCGTGTTAGTATTTATAATTGCATTTACATGCAATAAAAAAATGTTACATTCGTATTGCAATAAAATTTATTCTCCACAGATCCGGTACCAAAATGTATATGTACATATGTATATGTACTTATCCATATGTATGTATATTATTTTAGGGTTTATTTACGCAACTGAAACTAAAAGTACTTGTCAGTGCGCTGCCAAAGCTTACAAAAGTGTGTAAAAAATTGATTAAAATAGGCGCTATTTGAATCAATCAATAAATATCTGAGTAGATAGTTTTTATAAATTTTTAATAGATAAGGGGTTTCATGTAGTCGATAATAGCCGCACAGTTATTTGGCTATCCTAAGTGCAAATATCAATTCTTTTGGTTTTAAATACATATATGTATGCACATACATATGTATATTGCGAATAAAACCAAATATGGATAAATCATACGCGTATTTTCTTACTTTATTTGTAAACAAATTTCTGCATGACCAATTCGGCTTGACAGTGTATGTGGCGCCGTCAACTTTGTACAACCTGCCTATGCAAGCCACAATCAGCTGTTCGATGACGCAAGCGCTGCCAGCGGTACATAAAATAGCCTGGCGGGATTTCTTATTTATTGTTTTCGACGTCCATTTTGTATAACACAATTAATGGAAATTCGACGAAATGTACAAAATTTATACAAATACTCCTGTAAATGTTAATCAAATATTTAATCAAACGTATGGCAACACTAATTTTCTGCGAGTGTGCTGAACAAATCAAGAACAAGAAGTAATTCTGTTAGCTTAGGACGAAACTATTGCAGTTTTGAGCTCGCCAATTTCAAATCAAAAGACATTGCAAGTTATTATCAGTATTATTATTTCTCGTGCTCATTTGTTTTGATATTTTCTTGCAAATTCATTAACGGCCACACTGATAGGACAAACTGAGCGCCAACTGTCTGCTGGTATGTTTTTTGTGGTTCCTGTGAGTTGGCAGCATCGTGACATTTGCCATTCACAGCAGGGAATGGTATTGTGTGCGTGAGGTTCGTGTATGTGAGCGCAAATGTGTATACCAATGTATGGATAGTGTTTATTGTAAAAAGCGCCATCAAATTGCCCAAAAGGGTGACGAACCTAAAAAAGAAATCGCTTTGCGGTGAAGAAAAAAACGTTAATATCAGCATTGTCGACGATTAAGTCGTCGGTAACGCTGCGAAGCAAGAACAAGGCAAAAGCAGAAGAGAAAGAATATTGTGTGTCCGCGTGCTGCCAACTGCGCTCAAAAGAGTGGCGTCTGCGTCCAAAAGAACAAAAAGGCAATTGATATAATTGTAGTAATAACAAGAGGATAATTCAAGGACTTGTAATGCCTGCGGCCGCAGTGTCGACGACAACGAAACGAAGAAGCGCAGCAGCAGCGTGAATTTAGAAGCCATAACATTGTGCGTGTGTTGTTGTTGTTAGTGTTGGTGGTGGTGGCGTGCGTACAGTAAAATTTTTCAACAAGTTGTCAGCGCGCAACGCTCAGCTCCAGCAACAAATACAACAACAACAGCAGCAGTAGTAGCAGCAACAGCAGTGAGCAGCGTTTTTAGTGATGTCATCAGAAAGTAAGTTCTTTTTTTTTATATATATATATATATATACATATGTATATCTTGAGAGACTACAACCACAACGTCGTCATGACGTCATTTCGTAAAAATATACACAACAGTCGTCAAATGTGCTGGTGCTGGTTGATGTTGTTGTTGCTGTTGTTTCGAATTCGTCGTCGTCGTCGTCAGTTGTAGCCATCGTTGCCTTGCTTAGCAAACAAACAAAACAAACCAAACAACAGTTGTAGGCCAGCAGCAAGCAGCAGCATTGAACAACAGCAGTGACAGTGACAGTGGTGGTGTGTGTGTGTGTGTGTGTGTATGTGTGTTGTTGTTGTTATCATCATTCTTATTATTATTATTACTGTTGTGTAGTGGCATATGCTCTCCATGCGGATTGATAGGCCGGGAAGTGGGGGGGATTACAATATTGTAACAAAATTCGAAGCACTCACTGCACAAATTTTATCTCTACGCATTTCACTCGCTCACTCACGCTCTCTATATATATAAGTACATATATATGTATATCTATCCATCTATCTATCTATCTCTATCTGCTTGTCCCAAAATTGTGCCCGCCAACAATTTGCATCGACATCGACATCCACATCCATATCGACCTGCACCAGCAGACATCGTTCAATATCCAGCAACAATAACTTCAAACTGGCCAAATTGAAACGGAAAAAACCGTCAACCTGAAGCAGTTATCGAAGAGCGTGGTGCTGCTTAAAATCGCAAAAATGGATAGCATCGTGGAGGAGAACGGCAACTCGGCATCTAGCGGCAATGTCAACGATGTAGTCGATGTGTCGGCGGCCGTCGCTGCTGCCGCCGGCCTCACCTCAGGAGCAACAGGCGGCCAGCAGCAACAACAGAACCAGCAGAGTACAACGGGCGGCGTATCAGCGTCGTCCAACACAAATAATACTGGCGGCGGCGGCGGTGGAGGACCATCAGTGTTAACCACAACCGCCAACTGCAACATACAATATCCAATACCAGCCCTGGCGCAGCATACAGGCATACAGGTAAGCATATCCGTATCCCCTACCCGAAACTCTGGCACTCTAATGCCCCCACCAGTGGCTAAAAGATTCTTGCAAAAGCACAGGCTATACTCGATCGAATTCTGCATTGTCCTCTCCTAACCTATTTAATCTTTGGCTTTCCTTTAAATTTTGTCAGAAAAAGTTTATTGACCTTTTCATTTGAGAGTGGAACTGCAAGCCATTCAGACTGGCCTAGTATTCCACTGTAGCTTTTTGTATCATAGAGCGTGAGTTTTTATTCCATTTTCCTTTCAAACTATCCAATACGTTTAAGTTACTGCTGTTTCCAATGTTTGAGGCAATTTTTATCAATAACATTCATTGGGAACACCAAGAATTCTCTATTCCGTAAGATGTGCGATTGATCATTTTCAGAACCTACATATGTAATTAGATAAGATACTGTGGACTCGAGGATCTGACGTCGCTGAGCCTTGCTAAAGCTACTTTTGATCATTTGCAAAATTAATAAATTAATTAACACATCTTTAGTCGCCTTATGGTATATTTTTAAGGACTCTTTTGTACACTAATCAGAAGTGATTTTTTATATTGGAAAAGGGTAACCTGATACCCTCTCAATGCTATACTAAGCACTACCTTAAGCTTCCGATTTTTTATGACATGTCTCATTCTGACATATCAGATTAGGGCTTTAAGGCTTTTCTTTGCATAGACAAAGGGGTTTCGATTTCATTGCTAGTTCGTTTTCATTTCTTTGAACACAATTCTTTGAACTTTGTAAGAATTTTATAATTTGGAATTGTAAAGGAAGCTTGTTTAGTTGCCCAATTCTTATTGTTTGGTACTTCTACACACGCCCGAGTAACATACATACATATATACATAGAATTAAAACTAACTTTGACAAACCGATAATTTTGTGCCACTCTTGATCTGACTATTTGATTTCTTACTTTCAGGCACAGTCTGTAATACAGGCGGCCAATCATTCTTCTGTTATACAAACCGCTGCCGCAACTAATCAACAAGCTTTGGCCACTGCAAGCGCCATGCATAAGGCGGGGGGCGGAGGTGGCAATGTTGTCTATGTGACCAAACCGCCCAATACAACGGTCATCCACACGACCGCCAGCAATGCTGTGCAAGTGCGTAATAAAGTGCGTAATTCCTTAAGGGAATGAAATAGGAAGAACCTAGTCATATTAACGTATTGGTTTCTTTCTTATTTCGTCGTATTGTATAGATCCCTCCAAATTTTCCATGTAAGATCAAACCTGAACCGAATACACAACATCCTGAGGATAGTGACGACAGCTTATCGGATGAGGATTCGCCGCATCATCGCAGCGAATTGACAAGGAGGCCATCGTATAATAAGATCTTCACCGAAATCAGTGGACCCGATATATCCGGTAATTATGGCGTGCTGCCATATCTTGCGTTCTTTCTCTTTTTATATAGTATATGCTCTCGACACATACACACAACCACACACACCCATATCGAACTTAACCCACTGCATTGTTTGTTTACTTTAATTGGTTCTCTTAAGTTTTGTGTTCTTGAAACTAAATAAGCGCGCTCAGCCCACCTTCAGCTCCATCTACACCCACGCTGTTGCATACATTTTTGTCTCTGCATACATACATACATACATACTTATATATAGCATAATACCATGCTGTCTTGAGACATCAACTCCCACCAACCATCACATGTATGTTTGTCATAGCAAATTGTCTCGCCCGACTCGATATCTGGAAACCATAATGCCACTTCTCAAAGTCGCTTTCCTCCTCCTTAAACAGCCTGCTTGTTTATTTAAAATAATTAATAGACATTTTTATTTCCTAAACATTTAACATTGATTTTACAAAACCTCTTCTGATCTTTCAAATATTGCCTTCAAATCTTAATCAAAATAGATTACAAATATGCTTCGATTGAGAAATGCTGTGGGGTGGGGAAAAGTACGTTGGAACTATTACAATTCCGATTTCAGAAGTTGTATATCTTTTCCTAATTAATTACATATGTATATGCACATATGTATGTATACTTCATTTTGACGGGTTATTTTTTTGTTTATCCTTCTACAATGTTCTTCAAGAGATGTTCGAAAGTAAATGTTCCTTTATTACACACACACACATACACATACATGCATACATAAATATTTGTCCCTATCAGCTGTTACGTGTATGTTCTATAACTTCGCCATGATCATGATCCCCTAACCCACATACATATACATACATACATACGTACAAATGTACATAAAATGTTGTTGTTTATTGTTGGCATTATCGAAAACAAAATACAAAATCCAAGAAACTACAAAATCAATACAAAAATCTAATTCGATATGTATAGTATATTTGTTTGTAATCCAAATGAGCACACACGCTTCTTCACTTCTCCAACCTTGCGTCTCCCTCTCCCTCACACACACTCCTTCAGCCTGTCTGTCGCTCTATCTCTCTCACATACATGCTGGACTTACCGTTACGAATAACAGTTGCTGCAGTTCAACGCTCAGCCGCTCCACCAACACACACACAGACTTATATATACATACATATATACGGACACACATACGTACTGGCATATAGTTGTTGTTGTTGTTGCTTATTGAAAAATAAAGAAAAGAGAATTATACAATTTTAAAAAAAATGCATCGTTAGTACGAGACTATAAGAAGAACAAAGATTAAGAAACGCGCACTTTTTGGCATGTCGCTAAACTAAAAAAAAACATACATATGTAAATAATATTTTAAAATAAACATACAAACATATGTACATACATAGACACCTTGTCACACCTCCACCTCTCGCTCTTTAGCTGCTGTTGTTGTTGTTGTGTCACTATGCTACAGAAAAAATCGTACGACCACGCATAACTGTGAAAATGTTTGAATTAAAACCGTGTTACCGCCGCTATTTTCAAAACTAATCTAAATCACTCGTTTTCACGCTAGTTCTCTCTCGCTCCCACACACGCAACCACATATGTGCATCATTGTCATTGCCACACATACATACACACACACACACACACTCACATGCTCACAACAACAATCAGTGATAAACTTACGCGCACTAATCCTGGAAATGATGTTTTCACAATTGCCAAAAACAGAATTTTTTTAACGCTTCAAAACCAAACGATCCATTAAAAAATATTCAACTTGTTGCCAAAATATTGTTTCTTATAATTTTTATTGTTTTTTTTTCGTTTTCTTTTTGACTGCCCTCTCTTTCTCTCACGCGCGCCAAATAAAAACTATAAAAAATATATCAATTGTATTTAAAAAACAACAACAACAACAAATAAACGAATAATTAAAATACCAATGTCAACAACAACTACAACAACAATCAACAACAACAACTTGTCGACCCAAACTTAACCCCCACCCAAAAAAAAAAAAAAAAAAAAAAAAAAAAAAAAAAAAAAAAAAAAACCAAACCAAATTACTATCCAAATGTACCGTCCAACAATCAACCCACCAATCAAAAATCCAACTAACGGCGATCTCTTGGCATCGGCGCAGGGGGCCCAGCACTGCAAATGTCTGACGGTGGCGTACTTGGGGCGCAGCTGCCGAGTGGCGCGACGAGCGGTGGCAACACAACCAGCAGTCCACTGCTACACATGCCGCCGGATACTTCATATTATCTATCCAGTCGGATAGCGTACAATACCAGTAAATGTCGCCGATAAAATAGAGAGCAATGCGATCTAAATATAACATTGGCTTGAATCCTAATTTTCATATTATACTCACAAATCACTCTCCCCGTTCGATCTATTGCAGACAACAGCGGCATTGCCGAGGACCAGACGCGCAAGCGTGAGATACGGCTGCAAAAGAATCGCGAGGCGGCTCGCGAGTGTCGACGCAAAAAGAAGGAGTACATTAAGTGCCTGGAGAATCGTGTAGCGGTGCTAGAGAACCAAAACAAAGCGCTCATCGAGGAGCTGAAATCGCTTAAGGAGCTCTATTGTCAAACCAAGAACGATTGAACGTGGCAGCGGCGTTGGCAGCAGCGTAAGCGGCAACGTCGACGTTGGATCAAGGCTGTGGCAGCGGCAGCAGGAGCATCACCAGCAGCAGCAGCAGCAGCACCGATGTTACTTACAATGACGTCAGCACCACCAGCAACAGCAGCATAAGCAGCAGCAGCAGCAGCGTGCTTCAAGCTGGGGAGTAGTGAGACGTCCAGAAGGTCTGATCGGAATGCGTGGACGGCATGTGTGCTATTTATTGGCTGCATATGTCATGGCTTACATACATACATATGTACATACGTATAAAGCTGATTATGTGTAGAGTATATATGTAGAGTATAGAGACCCAGACAGACACGTTCGTCACTAGTGTGGACGGTTGTTCGCATTTAATATGCTGCTAACACACACACACCCACACACAACTACATACGCAACCACAAATTGCTGCCGCATGCCAACAACAACAATGTTGCCTACCTGCCTGCCAAACACAGACACAGAGACACACACATACAGACACATAGACACACACACATAGCGACACACAAACAATGTAATTATGTTTATAATTTTTTATGTGTAATATTATTTCTATGCTTATTACTGTAATATTTTCTTTATAGTTTACTTTTGCGATAATTTTAATGTAAATTAATTCCTTTCTCTTTTTGTTTGCTTAACAATTTTTTGCAAAAATTCAAGCAAATCAGAAAAAAAATCTATGATTTTTGAGTAAAGTGCGCAGCGCGTCAACTTTCTAAGCAAGAAAAGGAAAAACAAAACAAAAAGAATTTAGTAAATGAAATAACAATGTTTTTTGTTTATTTTAGCAAAATAAATGTTAAAACAGAAAACAAATTAAACAAGAAGCGAATTAGTCAACACACATACACATGCATACACACACACACGCCCACAAAACACACACACACACAAAATTGTGCTCGGCGCCGACATCAAAATGTTCGTACACACAATTTTATAAATATAGTATACAAAATGCAGCCGACTCTAATTTATATTTGTAATTTGCAAAAAGGCGCTAGCATTGTGTGAACTAAAAGTGTATGTATTTCTTATTAATGAAATTATTTAAAAATTTTTGTTACATAATTCTAGTGTTTAAACAAAAAACAAAGAAAAGTAAAGTAAAAACCAACTTAGGCTGCGCCCAATGGCAGGCTACACATTTTTTAGCTGTGCGCGCAACAAAAAGGAAATATGTATGTATGTACGTAGTTAGCGAATATTTGTACACTATTTCAATGGCATACAACAACTCTATAACAACAACAATCTATATATATATAAATAAATAAATATATTTGGTTTGTTAGTTTTTAAAAAAAAAATGCGCGCGCAATTAACATTGAAAAAGAAAAAAACAAATGTAATTTCTTCATTTTTTTCCTTTTGGGCCACTCGAAAACAAAAAGAAAACAAACAGTAGCAACCAAAATCAAGGTAAATCAACGAAAAGGCAGCGACGTCATATTTTTTAACATACTTAAATGAGAATTGTAAAAATGAAGGAAATTGTAAGGAAACTTACAGACACGTACAAGTATGTGCATATAAAGCAAAACTCTCGTTATCTCTTGTGATCAACTCAGTTGTTGTTATGAATGAAAATTTAAAAGAAAAGCAAAAAAGAAACAAAATAGAAAAAGAAAAACAATACATACATGCACGCAGACAGACAGACAGACGGACAGCCAGCCAGCGCTGACAATGTTGTTGCAGGCGATCTTTTTTTATATATACAACAAAAACAAAACACTAAAGAAATATTTAATGTCAAATATAGCAGGAGCAATGCATATTGTATATACCGTGTGTATATGCATATGTTATGACATGTATGTATGTGTGTAAAATTATTATAAAGATATGTATATATACATATATCTATCTATCTATTTTTGATGTCAAATCAATTGGGCGAAACTTTCTGCAAACAAAACAAAAACAAATAAATACAAAAACAAAAACAACAAATGAAATATAAAAGCAAAAGCAGGGCAACTTTCTTTGGTAGTCATTGCGAGAGTTGCAAGCGTAAAATTTTGAAAACAAACATATTTTTATTGTCATTGCATAATTTTTAAGCTAGTAATTTTAATATTTAAAGCATAAGCGAGAAAACAAAACAAAGAAAAACCATAAAAGTGACAACAATTAAGAAAACGAAGGCAAAACAAATTAAAACAAAAAACTGTAGTAATTACAATATTGTTATAAATATTTGTCTCAATGAGAAAAAAAAACAACAAACAAACAAACAAAGCAAAACAACAAACAACAAAAAATATACATTAAAAAATCAATAAAAATAATAAATGCAATTCAAATAGTTTGATTTCAACACATCAGCTATGGTCAGACAGGCAAAAAGTTTGCATACAAATGCGAATAGAATCGATAAGAATTCTAACTGAAACTTCTTTGAGATTCTCTTCTGAATGCCAGATTTGTGGACAAATTATTGGCATGTCTCTGGAGGGACTCTAAACACTCTAGTACATTTTTTTTTAATTCGAAAAGAAATACTCTGCTCTAGAGCGAAGATGGAAAAGGACTGGAATGGCGGAGCAGTGCTCAACCAATTCTTGAATTATATATTCATGTATCCACTCATTACTAGAATTGATTTTCTGTCTATTCTTTTATGACAACAACAACTGGGCAGAGCCCAGTTTATACTTAGATCGAATTTATGGGTATGAGTTCTGGAATACGATTGCCACATTGGAAAGCTTTACTCTATAAAACTATACTTGGAGTCATCGGGAATTAAGATGATATCGTTTATTATTTTATCCTTCGCATTCCACTCTGGTTTTATTTTATATAGCTGCCATAGGACTGAACTGCAAAAATCAATCTTAGTACTAAATGCTTTTTTGTTTACTGCGAAATGTTGACAAAAAGTGGAATTACTTTTATCTATTTAATCAAGATTATTTAGCTGCCATACAAATGATTGGTCCTACAACGAATTGAATGCCTGTTACGGGGAAAGGAGTGGGTACAGGAGACTTATTTTATTTTAAGAACTGACTTCATAAACTATAAACGTTCATCACCTGCTTCCTAAAACCATTAAGGAAATATATTTATAAATTGTCATACTTGTGGAATTTTTATTTTCGATTATTTTTAAGAATTCCAGTAATGAACTGAAAACAAACATGGAAATATACCTCCTTTTTTTTCTAAACATTCAATAATTTGCATTTGTTAGCACATCTTTAACATATATAAGTAATACTAATACCTATTATTTGTGGTTTTGGCGCTACTTGCGAATTTCAAGGTAAGACTTCTGTTTGTAAAAAGAATTCCCTGCGAGTTGTCGAAAAATTTAGATTTGATTTCCCACACCAAGCGATTAGGTACAAGTATTTCCGCCTTAGAAGACCAGTAGGTCCAGTTTGGATATGGAGTTGGACTACTTGATTAGCTTAGTTCTTGATAATTGTAACCTCGGGTGCCGAAAAGAACACTCCGTCATCTTCGATTTTCCATTGGGGGATTTGAAAATAAATTTTAAAAAACATTCAAAATTTACAAAAATGCAATTTATTTAGACTATACAAAATGATGATGCACTAAAATACAAATATTTCAATTGTTTTAAATAAAACATTGGGCAAAATAGAAGTTTCAATGACAATGCCTTAAACCGGCAGACTTTTCCGCAGATCTATTTATCCGAAAAATACATAGCTACATGGGATACTGTTATGTTTATACATACAAGGTGCAATTCAAAAGTTCCAGGACTTTTTAAATAGCGCGGCTCCTAGTGGCGCCATGTGTTGGAAATTTTTATCCGTCAATTGTGTATTCTTCAGTGTTGTCGTATGGAATTTATATAACAGCTGAATTGTATAACAGCTGGTATATCGCGCTAAATGTGACATTACATTTGTAGTGTTGGTCGGAAAATGAACATCGAACAAAGAGCCAACATTAAGTTTTGTTTTAAACTTGGTAAAACTTTTACCGAAACTCATCAAATGAGTTTATGTGATTGTCTATCCTGTAGCCGTATTCACGAGTGGTTTAAACGTTTTCAAGAGGGACGGGAGGACTTGGAAGACGACGAACGTTCGGACCGGCCAAAAGATGTTGTGAACGAAAAAAACACGGAAATTGTGCGTGAATTCATTAAAAAAGAGCCGAAATCATCGCTTAAATATATGGAATCGGAATTATCAATATCCGCAGCGTCGATTTATCGTATTTTGACAGAAAATTTGGGTCTCAGAAAGGTCTCAGAAGGAGACTATTTTGAAGGCGACCAATAAATTTTTCAAAAAAAAAAAAATAGTTTTCGTTTTTTAATAAAAGTCCTGGAACTTTTGAATTGCACCTTGTATATGCATATTTATTGTTCTACTACACATATATGGGTGCCCATATGGTCTTCCCTCAGCACCAACTTATATTTTATTTCGCTTCAGTTCATGCCCAACTCGGAGAGTTCGGAGACTCAGAAATGTCCCCACCGATCCGGAAGACCTTCTCCTTTCGGATAGTTGTTGCTGTTCAAATTCTCCATCATGTAGTTGGCGAAGAACTCCCTTGGGTTTTCGGGCCGGGCCTCTTTCATGGCGCGCATAACATTCTGCATGAGCCCGCACATCTCCGACTCCGCTTGATTGGCGCTGCTCATGGTATAGAAGTTGCGTTTCTTCAGCGGCTGCAGCGGCTGTTCCTCGTTAGGAGCCAACAACTGCATGGGCGCAAGAGGGGGCTCGTGAGGCGCATCCAATAGTATTGCCATCTGTGGATTGTTCAGGCGAATCACCTGAATGTCATCAGAGTCTGCGTCATCCTCGTCGGAGTCCATCTGCGGAACGTGTGGCTCAGGAAGCTCCAGTGGCTCCATGTAAACGACTCGCCTTGTTTTTGCTTTAAAAAAAAAAAACTCAAGTGGTGTGAAAAAGAAGAGATTTGGATGCTTCTTTTCTCAAACGGATAACACGGCAGTTCAAAACAAGCTGCTGATTTCGCCAAATATTTTGCTATATTTTTCCTATCGACTTTTTATGTATTATAGTGTTTAGTAGTGTGAGGCGCCTGAATAACGAATGAATACTGAGAGCTATTGGGCAAGCAATTCAAAAATGATTGACGGTCGGGCGAAAGACTTTACAAGGCCGGCTGCGATAAATGGAGAACACATTAGGATAGTTCCCTCATTTCTATTTAATTGAAAAGCAAAATATTTCTAAAATCGGGAACGAAGATATACTCCTGAAGGTAGTTATCTTATTTCTATTTAATTGAAAAGCAGAATATTCTTAAAATCGGGAACGAAGATATGCTCCTCAATGTAGAACACATTGGGAGAGTTCTGTCACATTTCTATTTAATTGAAAAACAGAATAACCTTAGAATCGGGAACGAAGTAATGGTCCTTAATGTAGAACACATTCTGTCATTTCTATTTAATTGAAAATAAGAAAAACCTGCGATTTTTCACATCTAAAGCCAACTAGGAATGGGAAATCTTATCAATCACCGATCTTCTGTCAATCTTATGATTCTCTGTATTATATTGCCGAGCAATCGTTTAACCATCTCTACAAAGTACTACTCTAAGATTGCAGGCAGTTTCTATTTGCTCCGAGAATTTCTGAAGGACTATTTGAAAATCGATTTTCTGATACTACTGATTCTCGATTAATAACGCGTCAATCTACTGTTACAACCGCAAAATCGGACCAGCCATGTAAAAGATATAGAAATTATGTAAATTGTGGTGTTAAACATAAACAATTTTAATTAAGTCTGATCCGTTTGGAGGTTATGATTATAACTCACAATTATAACTGCAATGCACCAAGTCCTGGTAAATATTAAGTCATGCCAGTCCGATAAATCTATATACTCGTATATAGTGTAAAACAGTTTGTCCTGACTGATTGGTGATCTACGCACAAAAGGATAAGACCCATCGATGTAGAAAGCTGACACAAATTTCCTTTCCTTAAGAAAATTCGAGCTCAAAATGGGAAAAAGGGGCTACAACGTTTGAATGAAAAGTCTGCAATCCTTATGCTTGAATAAATGTACATAAATAAAACTTATAGCGCTCATTGTTTCGTGATATATTTCTTGAGGCCTGCTTTATTGGGGTTTTCCTGTGGGAAAACTAAGAGCTAGAATGGTAAAATATTGGCACTCAAGTATTTTTTTACGCTCCTAAGACTGAACAGAATGGAAAAATTTGCAACAGCTGTAGAGATGAACAATAGAAGGACGCTACGCTAACCCTTCCCATCAAAAATGGAGATTGTGAAATAATTAATAATAAGCAATTATCAAATAAAAGTCCAGTCTAATTGAATTCGAAATGAAAGGTCATAACAATAATAATAAAGTAAGACTATAACGAAACAAAGGACTTCTAAATCTACGTTTTCTATAAATATTGAGAAATTTCAAAGATATCTATTGAGAAAAAGGATTGGGTTGGGATTACGAAGAAGTAAGAAAATACACATTTGTGACTTGTTAGTCTTGAAAATTGTATTAAGCACACATAGACACATAAAACACGTATGTATATATGCATGTAAGTATATAAGAAACATTGCCACAGCTTAAACAATTACAAATATGAGTACAAATACAAATAAATTCACAGTGCGTATCATCAGTACATGTATGCTTTTCCCCCATATGGGGGTGTATAGGTATGTATATATATATATAAAGATATAAATATGTATAGACACATACAGTATGTATGTATGTATATTAGGTGTATACGTATGCATGTAAATATGTAGTAGGTAATACCATTACAATCACAAGGAGCGTCCGGGCGCCTCCGCCATTCCTTACAAGAAATTCCATTAAAACTAGATACACATACATATGTGGACATAATTCCCATACATACATTCCCACTTTAGGATATAAAGAGATAGAGCACAAAGGTGCCCAATCCAATGTAGTGACTTAGATAACCAGACGACCACCAATGCCACAGAAAGGGCATTTCCCCATCCTCCATTTCCAGCGAGTCAGTCAGAGAATCATTTAGCAGCACCACGCCCAGATAGGCCAGATGGAACATGGCGAGCAGCCTAAACATGAGATTCACGAACATTACCAGCCAAGAGCTCCAATGGCCCCAGCCTCGTTTGGACGGGCAATGTGTGTAGCGACATCTGTCCTTGCCCATGCAGGGATTGGCCATAATGCAGGCTCGGGTCAAGGTGGCCAGGTGGCGACGCAGCATCACCTCGCCATTGGCGAACGTGGCCAGCGACAGCAGCACCAAATAGATGCGCAGATCCATGCCGTGCAGCAGCGAGGAGACAAGGTAGGTGCAGAACACTGCCACTATGGTGTGCTGCTGGGCACGTCCTCTCATCCGGCCATAGATGTAACGCTTCAGCCACTCGTGCATCGGAATGTTCCACTTGCGTACCAGCACGCTCAGCGAGTACGGCCACTCGATAGTCCAAGCGTCACAGACCTGCTGGCGATCACGTCCGGGGACTGTGACACGGTCCATCTCCAGCGATTGGCCAGCCGTGATCAGCATCGCCTGGCTCAGATAGCTGACGAAGTAGTGGCTGGAGCGAACGCCTAAGGCGCCCACCCACGTCATCCAGACTTGCCACAGATTAGGAGTGGCCAGCATGTAGTGGCTGTCGAACTCGTTCAGCGTCGGACAAATGCAATTGGACATGGCCAGGGCTAGCACACAGAAGATCACATGCAGCAGCGCCCGGAACAACTGGGAACGCCAGCGCGCCAGTGTGTTCGTGCCCAAGCACTGCAAATAGGCTGTGTAGGAGATCCAGGGACCCAGCATGCATGTCGCCGGGTTAAAAATGTAGCCGAGGTAGGCGAGAATGCTGGGCATCAATTGTTTAACCGCTCCCATCTCTGCCATGTCGAAAGCCAACGAGATCACCTTCATATTGGCCACCATTTGCAGTCCACGCAGCTGTGTCCAGGCAGCGGGCTGATGCCACAGCAGCTCGTACGAAAACTGGCTACCAATGGTAATCAGGGCGATGGCCAGTGCTCCTCGTTGGCCGCTGCCTAACCGCACCAACTGCAGCAGCCCATAGCTTAGGCTGCTGAGGAGCACCAGCACCCAGAGCCGCTGTCCCAGGGTTACGTAGAGCATGACCAGTCCACTAAGGGCCGAGATGAGATGCAGTGGAGCCACAGCCATGGTGTTGGGCCGTACTCGCGGCCTGTCAGCCTCGGGAAAACGATGATACGCATAGAGTGTGCTTAGCAGGCGGCACGCCAAACAGCAGAGCAGCAAGGGCGCCAAATAATACAGAATCTGATGCCACGAGGGCAGCACACAGAACTCAAAGGTGTCCCGCAGGCGCTCAACCACTGGGTCAATGGCTGACACCCTACTGCCCTCATTGTGCAGCTGGTCCAGGTGCTCGTGTGGATTTTGGTCCCGGCCATACATAACTCGCGGGTGAATATAGCTCTCCGGCTCGTCCTCGTCCGCTTCTTCATCCTCGGAAGCCGCAATGTCTATATAGTCCGGTTCATCAAAGTAGTGATAGTCCATGGTGGGCTGTGGGTGGTGGGATGTGTGCGGGGTGGGTGGTTGTGGTCTGTGTCTCGGTATCTATACTCTTTCAATTCTCCTTTCGCTGCAGCTGCTCCCTTTCTTCCCTGCCTTGTGCTTGTGGCGGCAATAGCCGCGCGCTTCTTAACTCTTCCAGTCAGGCGCCAGCTTTTTCTTCTTTTTTTGGCAAAGAGTCTGTCGGCCTGTCTTAAAATTTCTCAGACTCTTGTGCAGGAAAGCGCAAACTTTTGCTGGCTATATGCACCGCTCTCTATACAAACAAACTGCATCGTCGCGACGGTGGCGGCTGTGCCAGTGTTTGGCAATGCGATTAGTGTTGAAAAGGTTTGCAATGCACAGTAAAGCTGCAATATTTGCGCACTCTTCTTGTACACTGCGGCTCAAAAGAATGTGGCCCGTGCTCGAAAAAGACTCAATTAATTATAGAACGCTGAACTATATGACAATTTTTTTTAAATAATGAATAAAAAATAGATTATTAAAAGAAATAAATTTAAAAAAAAAGTATATTCGAAATAAATTGCATATATTCTACTATAGAAGTGGAACTTTGAAATATTAATATTATTCTTATTAAATTAAAATATGTGGACAACTAAAAAAATGAATTACTAAACATAGCACAGCAATATAGATGTACTTAACAAAGCCACTAATTTAAAAAAAAATTTAAACTCTCAAATTTATCAAAATGTATTGAAAATAATGAATAAAAATACATTATAAAAAGTGTATATTCGAAATAAATTGTAGCTCTGAGTATACAAGTAACATTAATAATAATATTATTTAAGTAAAATAAATGGAAAACTACAAAATATGTATTACTAAACATAGCACAATTATTTAGTTTTGGTTAACGAAGCCACTTATTTATAAAAATACAGAATCCCATATACAAATAGTTATGTTCCGTTGAAAAAACTTGTACGCACTTAATTAATAACATAATATATACATAAACATAAACTAGAAAAAAACTGCGAATCTTAAAAAAAAGAATAAAGAAATAGAAAATTCTTCACACAATAGAAAATAAAGAAACAAGACAGTAAATAGTATGTTCATTTAAAATTTACGTAACTGAAAAGTACAACAACATCCTTGGAAAGTAAAAGAGTTCCCAAATATGTTTAATTACATGATGGAGTCTCGCAAGCTTACAATTATTGAACAGCATTCCACATTTGTCGATTCATGATCAACTTTCTTAATCCATAACGATGAAACATCGTCAACAGCTTTATAACAGAAATTTGGCTGTAATACTTACATATGTATATAAAGAAAAAACGTTTGTATGTAGGTATGTTCCATTATAGATTCCGAAGCCACTCATTCAATTTTGATCAAATTTTGTGGCAATATTTAAAATTGTCCCGTGGCCGATCCTGTGAAGTTTCGTGGCGATTGGTTCTACGGAATTTATTTTTCGATTTTTAAAATTTTTTCAAGAACTGTGTTTTTTTCTATAAATTACTCCATTTTGATTTCCTTTCATTTTTGTTATTGTTTCATTATGAAAATATTAAATTCAGCTTACAGCGGACCAATAGACCATTAAGTATATCTATTATGGCGTAAAATCAATATGCTTACTGTCAACCATTGCCTCTTCTAGATGCTAGATAGTCATACCTATTTAGAATTATAAATAATCTTCATATTCTTAGGGTATGTGTAACATTTTTAACAAAGAGACTGTACGTCTTATATGTCTCTTAGGTATGTGTAGCACTGAAGCATCCAAAAAATACACGAAACAAAGATGTTAGAAAGAGACACTATCGCCCTCAGGTGGTTTCTTGACTTTTCTGAACAACCTTTTTAAACCATCCGAGCTAAATTGGTTCAAAGCTAATGCTATGGGCTTGTTTCCTTTGATATCGCTATTAAAACTATTATAAAATCAGATTAAATATAGTACAGGCATCTAAAATTGCTTTCTGCGTGGATTAAATGGAATATCAACCTTATGTTGCTGATAGTTTTGAGAACTTTTAGAACTAAAATTCGTCCATTTCGATTAAATTAAGTACAAACAATTGTAAGAAAATAAATAAATAATGTTATTCTTTTAGATCAAATTATATTCTTATAGAGTTCTAGGATCAATCGGTTTAACATTTTTATTATAAAAAGAAATAAGGATTGTGGCGATAGAGTTTGTGATAGAAATAGGTGTATGTTTTATTCAAATCAATTGAAATTTTGGAATTTTAATGATTACATTATAGATATATTTTCGTATGTATAAGGTGACAGTTCGTATATGGATGAACACTCCTCCTTGCATCGCGCCTTTAATCAAATACATTTCATGTGGTTATTGTAGTTTCTTTTGTTGTAAACACGCCAGTCTCCTAGACTGCCTGCACCGTTTGCTTCTGTGATGAACTGATTTTGTCGCCCAAGCTCAGAGCCATGCCCTATAAAGGATAACGAATGATTTTCTGATCTGAGGTAGTTAGTTATCGATATTTGGCACATACCTGGCTCTTGGCACGTATGCGTATGTGGCCGGTGACCTTTGAGTCTGGATCATCTACAGGCTTCTCAATGCTCAGATTGGCCAATGCGTTCTCGCCAAAAATGGACCTGCAAGGGAGCAGAGCGTACATGCATTATTTCCTGGACATTAGGAATACTGGTGGCTACTTACTTGGCATACATATTGGCGGCCATGAAGCCGCACTGTCCCGACAATGCTTTCTCCGGTGTCAGGCACTTCATGTTGGTGCTCTTCAGTAAGTGCTTGAGATACTCGTGCAGATCCGTAAAGCTTGTGTTGACCGTAACCTTGTTCTCCCATTCAAAGTCCTGCCACATCTGGCGGAATTCGGTGTCTGTGCAGCTGGCCGGTATAATATAATCCATAATGTCAATATGTATGGTGTTCAGCACCACGACGTTGGTGGTGAGCGCTGTGTCGTAAACTGTTGGGAAGAGTTGAGAGAATGCTTTAGTGAGTGAGCCGCCGCCTGATGGATGACTGTTCTATATGGCACTGACCAATGTTTCCAAAGATAATGCCGTTCTCTGTGGAAGAGACCTTAACGTTGGCCTTGATGTTGCAGAAATCGTGTGGTGCTAGAACCACTGGATGTGGACGCTCGACTAGCTTCAGATCGCCTAGTGTGGCCAGCTCCAGTGTGCAGTTCTGCAGCGTGTCGTCTGTAAAAAAAATTGGAGTTTCCATTACTTGCTATTTTATCTCTTTTCTCTCTCCTTTAGCCCCTAGCGGTTATGTTTGAAAAGATATCAGATACTGCTCCAAAGCTACCTTGGATCAAAAAGTTCCCGGAATATATTCAAAAAATGTAAGATACAACTATTGTCTATTAACTGCAACGCACTTATGCCAGCTCTCGAAACATTTTTGGAACCCTATTTCTTATATAGCCATCAGTGCCGTCCTTCTTCGACTTTTAAAAGGCGTTCCCCATATCCCGAAATGGAATCGGGAGCTGTATCAGGTGTGTTCGATGGCTGTTGTATGGTAGTCGTTTCGTTCTTGGTCAAAAATCATGTTATTGTCGGGGGTTTTTTTTAAAACTTGAAATTCAGTTCCTTTGGAAACAACTTTGCAGAAATACGGCGTAAACCCAAATCATTGACTACAATATCCTGAACGGATCCATAAGCAATGTTGAAGTCTTCTGCCAGTTCTCTGATGGTTCATTTGTGGGTTTTGATCAATTTTTCTTGCGCTTTATTGATGTTTTCATCAGTTTTCGATGTCGACTACGTTCGTCATCCTCGCTAGGAACTCAGGAACCTCAAGAACTCTTCTGAAGCGTTCATGCCACTCGTAAACGGTCGTTGTCTTTAGAGTATCTGTGCCGAAAGAGTTTCCCAACATTTCTAAGGTTTTCACATCCATTTTTGACGCAAATTGTAATACAAATCCATTTTTGAAACCAGAAAAAATGAAACCACGTGCAGGTGTGGGCTTAACTTTTACAAATATCATGCAATGGCGATCAATTTTGGTTGGAATGTTAATGACAGATGTGTGCGTGTGTGTGACAAAAAAGTGAGTCACCAGTCGGTTGTTCCGGGAACTATTTGCTCAAGGTAGTACTGCACCGCTATTTCAATTAAATCGGTCAGCCCTAAGCAAAATTATAGACAATTTGTGAGCGCACATAATCCACGTCTAATATTTGTTTCAAACTTAGTGACAGAAGCCTAAACGTGTTCCAAAACGTATGCTGGCTTTAACCCAAATGGCTTTTTGAGTCGACTCGTTGCAATAAGAGAGGAAGAATATCTGTAGATGAGAGGATGGATGGTCACTTACTTGTCTGGTTAACTATAAGCACGTCGAGCACAATGTCGTATTGATTGACATTGACATAGGCTTCGGCATAGACGGGATCGGAGAAGCCCGTCAATTGTGTAACCTTGTTCAGCTTATTGTTGGGCGAGGCAATGTCGCTTAACTGTGCTGTTTTGCTGCCAGCCAGTGCCTGATTCAAGCTGGACTCGAACACGTTCTCGCCCAACTGATTGTCGCGGCCGTTGGAGAGTTGGGCAAAGAGCACGGGATCATCCGGTTGGACCTTGGCCGCCGCGCGCTGTTTCTCCTTCAACACACGCTGATCCTCATCATGCTGGGCGTCCAGCATCTTGCCCAGAGCCTCACGGCAATAGCTAATAAAGACGGCCACAGCCTCCGGTGTGCGTTCGCTCAAGGTGCGCAGACAAATGAAAATGCGATCGGTGTCATCGTTAGTGATGGGCTTGGTTGGGAAACCAGATTTGCCCAGATGCAGTATGGAGCTCATGATCAGCATGACCTGTGTGGTCAGACGATTCTGGGATTGGCCATCCGGGTGTATTTCGGCGTAGCGTAGAGCCAGTTTGGTCAAGGTGGCCGAGAGTGCGGCACCGATAAAGAAATCACCATCCATCAGATATTGGAGTAGTGGTGGGCGTTTCTCTTTTTTCGCCACGCTGGGGAAAATGGAAAAGGAGAAGTGTATCAGTAATCGAAAATAATTATAATTATTATAATTAAATTTCGTAGACTATTTGACCTTAAAAAAGGGCCGGAAATACATATTGTATGCAGAACATCTTTAATGCTGTCTCCGTAACCCTCTTCTTTTTGCCGCCAAACGAGGCATGTCACACTTATTGGACAGTTAAGGAACTTCTTCATCGCATTGCGAGCTTAAGCAAGTTGCATGCAAGAGTCGCCCTACATATTTGCTACTATAGACTATCTTATTATATTCTTAAGCATGTTCCGTTTGATATTTAAAGGCGAAAAAAAAACGTTTCTATAAAAGATCTATCTATGAAACGTAAACGAGATTTTTTTCTATATGTTCCAAACGACTAGACTGATCGATAGATAAGGCTTGGAACTATGTACTTACGGTGCCAAGCTGAAGGCGCTCTGGGTGGCGTAGGTGCCATCGGAGGTCACCTTATTGCTGGCATTGCTAGTGGGCGTGGCCTCTGCATTGTTGGTAGCATTGGACGATTGTTGCTGCTGCTGCTGCTTCTCCTCGTCTGTCTGCTCGCCAGCGAGACGACGCTGCTCGGCATCAACCATCGGAATCTCGCCCAGCGTTTGCTGTATGGCTGCAATCACTTCAAGAATCTGGCCACCCTCCACATATTCGCCAAGTATCCAGACAGCGGCGCGATGTATCTTCGACGACTTTATCTGTGGGAATGCCTCAATTAAATGCTCAATAATGAGCGCACGCAAAGCAGGAAACTTTTGAATGGCCTCGCGTATAAAGATGAGCACGTCGGCGGCAGCCAACTCATTGGTGTCCGAAAGAAATTCGACGAGCACGGGTATGACAGTGCCGGCCACATCGGGAAACTTAATGGAGCAGGTGTGCAGTGTGCGCACCAGCAACTGACGATATTTGCCCGTATCCTCGTGCTCTACATTGTGCGTCTTGGCCACCTCCTTCTTCAGCACTAGGACCATTTCGCCTATGTTGCGGGAGTAGACCAAATCCATGGCCAGGGCGAGCGTTTTGCGGCGCACTTCAATGTCGGGAGCGGCCAGCACACGTAGCACATCCATCACCAGCTCCTGCATGACTTTCTCCATGTTCTCATTCTCCTTCATAGCAATCAGGCGATCTAGGACGATCAGCTTCACGTTGTTGTCGCTCTCCTTGACAATCAGCTCAATGTAGCAGCTGGCGGCTGCTTTAATGGCTGTTGGTGCCAACGATAGAGTAATCAGCGTGCCTGCAGCCTCGTAGCGCACGGCGTTCGATGATGAGTTGAGGAGATTGTAAATGCAGCGTATGAAGCGCGAGCGCTCGGCCGGATTGGCATGGCACACCTTATAGATGAGCTCCACGATGACCAATTGCAAAATGTCGCCAAAGGTGTGCACCTGATCAATGCACGAGGCCAAGTAGTTGAGGGCACGTTCCTGATCCGCGTGCAGCAGCATAAGGAATGCATTGCGCTTGCATGACATGTCCTGCTGTGTGTCTAGAAAATTGGCAATCAGCTCCGGGCCATCGGGCACCAGCCAATCGAAATTCTTGTAAATTGTGAAAATGGCCAGCACAGCATTGCGGCGGACGTACGAGTGGCGATGATCTAGGCAGGCGCGTATGGCTGGCATCAAGGGTTCCAGCAGCTCCGGCTCCTTCAGCTTACAGAGAAAACGCAGCGTTGAGCCGCGCAGAAACTCGTTGGGATGCTGCAAATCCTTGCGATACGCATCGCAAACCAAGATCATCTCCTGGAGCAACTTACCATCGGACGATGTCTTCGGCACAATCTCCCAAAAGATGAGCAACAGCTTTTTGATCGTGTGATTCTGAACTGGCAGCACAAATCGTATGATGGTCATAATCAAGCCCGGATACCGTTCGCCATTTAGTAGAAGTTTTATAACTTTCTTCAGCGTGTCGATTTTCACATTCGTGTCGCCTTTTTCCAAATCTTGCTTCAGTTGCATCTCATTGGGCACCTCCAGATCCGGCGAGTTGATTATTGTGTAGCAGGGCACCTGCGTCATGTTTGCGAATTAATTATGAAACAACTTTGCACGGCAAGAATTTTTAATGCAAGTAAGATGTGACAGCAAATAAAACAGGCAAATGTGTCCAGTGGAAATTTGTTTGCCCGTCCGGCTTGACGTGTCACTTCTATTCACCACAGCTGTGTGGCCAAGTGTGGTGGGTTCGTCAGCTGTTTGCGCTGATTGCATGTTTTGTTACCCGCTTATTCTAACACTGTTGTTGCAACAGTGTTGAGCAATTCTATGCGTTCGTGGCTAACGCTAGATGGCGCTTACGAATTAGTGCATAATAGAAATTCGAATAAAAACAAAAAAACCACCGGCTCTGTGTTTATTATGCACGCTGCGTGCGACGGCAATCAATTATTATGCGTACTTTTATTAAATAAATCACATAAGTAAGCAAATCAGCAACTGCTTCAGAGGCAAAGAAAAAGTCCCCCATTCGGTGATTTTTTTGTTCTCTTGCTAATTTGTTTGTATTTCTTTATACCATATACATATGTACATATGTATGTATGTATCTGCAATTGTTGATTGCGCTCGAACTCTGACATCAAACAGTTTTTTATTTTGTTTTTTTCCACTATAGCCGTTTAAATATGTATTACTTTCGGCTAAGAGATATTTCTCAGTTCCATTTGACATTGCAATTTGTTGTTGTTTATATTACGTGTGTGCTTCGAACCCTACGCTTAAAACATCTATGCACGTACATATATTTCTAGCTATCACTGTTTTGTCAGCTGTTGCATATACTGACGATTCGATTAAATGGACGACCTCGACAATCAAGGGACTGTGATTTCCCCTGTGCAATAAAAATAAATACAAAGCAACACATATAAATATTAATTTGTTGTGAAATTCCCGGGCAACAAACAAACATAGATCGAAAATAGAAACATAAACAATAGTATCGCCCCCGCACCCACCCTGTATAGTTGAGCACAGAGAAGCGATTTTCTAAAAGTTCAGCTCCGAGTTGGGGGAAAAGGGTGGCGCATGAAACGATGAATAATCGTTAACAGTTTAAGCTTTAAAGTAATAAATTGAAATGTAAGAATGTAGTAACTTATTAACTGATTGATTTATTTAGTTTTACGTTTGTTTTAAAACACATATTATGCATCGTTTTGTTTTCCTTCCCTTCTTTTTCTAAACATTGCCAAAAAATTTGCTTAGTGGTTCAAGATTAACCCCACAGTAAAGAGAAGAGGTCTGCGGTTGTTAGAAGTAGAAGAATTACGTATGTATGTAGAAGTAGTAGAATAAAGAGTCTAGTGTTTCTAAATGGTATGTACATATTTTGTAAATCATAGCAGCAGATCCAAGTATAAATATTATACAAGTATATGGCTGGACTAAGTATTATAAATGGATCTGTGGTACATCAGTATTTAAGAAGAAGAAGCCAAGATCATGGTACTAGAAATTTGTATGGATTGGTAGCATGATAAAAGATTGCCAAATAAACTAATCAGAAATGTCGTTAGTAACATTAATAATATTGTAGAACAACGCAATGTTCTATAAAGACAAATAAACTATTCTTTCAAGTTCACAATTATAGAGTTAAATACCACAAATCTTGTTTTAAGCGTGTTTCTTAAATCTGGACAATTGCATTTCAGATATATACGTGTAAATTAAAGCACCACTTTTCCAAAAAAAACTGAATTGGGAATTACTGTCAATAACGACGAGAGTTGCCGAGCGTAAGATCTCCATGTTTTATTCATTTGTGGATGTTTAAGCCGAGATTAAAGTCCTTAAATTCACCTTAAGGCTTAATTTAAGTTTAATCGCTTTTCGAAATGCGACTTTTTAGTTTACAAGTATATACTTTTTATTTATCTTAAAAGTAATCGATTTGTGAGAAGAATGTACAGCCTTTCTTCTGAGTTGGTTGTCTTCATCCGGCATTCAAAAATTAAAAAAAGGTTAAACAATGAATCTTTGGACAAGAGACTTAGTAATAATTAATAAATAAATAAAAGAAAACAAGCGAAGTATTTAATTGAGTTTGAGTCTCAAAAATAATCAAAGAAAATAATAATAATGCCTACGTTCGCCTCCGACATAGTGGGGGGATTTTTGAGACGCACGGCTAGCTATTAATTAAATAATTAACAGCCTTATGTGGTCGGTGATGATTGTTGAGAGAAGTTTTTAAGCAGAAGAAAGAGATAGAGATCATTAGAATCTGAATACACAACCCGAAAGCAATTGTGCAAAGGGTAGTCAGAAAAAAAACCTATATGGAGAGGTTTCTATGGTTACGACCTTGTTAAGAAAAACGACACAAAAGACAGTGCAATGAAGTGCTAATAAGCGCAGATTTAAAAAGCAAAAGCCATATCGAGCATTAATTCAAGGACCGCACAAAGGAGTAGGAGTTGTTTCTGGACCCACTCTTTGCATTCCTAGTACTTTCTATACTTCCGACATCAAGCACAGAGCGTACAAGAGAAGGGTTCCTTAATTCTTTTGAAAAACTTTTGCCAAATCAATCCTTAGTCCCTTTTGCAGTACTTGAGATGTAAAATAAAAATTAAATTTGGACTTAAAAAGTACCCCAAGATCTTCGTATGAAAGCATAAATGGCGCATAATGGTTATAAGCATAATAAAGATTGTCTGCAGTTCAGAAGCAGATTGGTTAATTGAGCTTTTCAGATAATATTTACAACTACGCCTGAGAAATTTGCACAGAAAGAAATACTCCAAATTATTAAATTACTAATTTAATATTTAATAGTAGTGGAAGTTTTATTTGGCATAAGGAATCTGCATGCTTTCTTAGTGGACCGAGTAGCGATTAAATCGGATGGACAACCATCGCCTTAAGGACCTGGTACAGTCGTGCCTTTCCACGCATGTATGTCAAGCATTTCAATAAAAATATAGGAAGTTATAGAAAAATTCAAAGTACAATTTCCGAACTTTTCAGAGAATTTTATTTCAATTGTTTTAAGAATGAAGGCCCTATTTTAATTTGGTGGCTCGTTAAGTAGCAGAAAAATTATTATTTATTTGCTTTATTTTATTTAATTTATTTAATTTATTTGCTTATTTCTTTTATTTATTTAATTTATTTTACTTATTGTATTTATTTATAAACCTTTTTATAGCGTAGCAATTACCAGATACATTTAAGTTATTACGCTAGTCATTACATATTTATTTATAATTTAATTGAATATAATTAATTTAATGTAAATTTTAATTAAGTTTTATTTGAGGTTAAGCAATACAATTATTAATTTAACCTGATTTTCTTTTTAAAATATTTTCCTCAGCTTTAGTTATTGTTATTATAAATATTCTTTTATTTTTCTTTTTTCCTCTTATTTTATATTACTTATTTTATATCATAATTTTTAAATTAGCTGATAAGTACAATTAAGATTTCTCCTCTACTTACTATTTTTATTTTTGTTTTTTAGGTCTGTAATATCTCTGACCCCATATGGCTGTGAATCTGGGCAGAGCTGGCCAAATGGCAAGTAAAATTTCGCCAAAGTATCGGAGGCACATTTATTTTTAAGTCTTTCTTACCTTTTAAGTTGAAAAAATTATAATGTAATATTATTCTGTATCTGTAATACATCATATTGTAATATAATATAAAACATGGTGTTCTGTATCGACAGCACAATTTTGTTGTTGAAAAAAAAATAATAATACAAATTATAAATAACAACATTTTACATAGCAGCTGCTTGATATTGACATTTTGATAAAATGGTTTGATTATGAATACAAGTATAACTAATTTGGTATAAATGTAACCATTTTAAAGATATAGATAATAGCTGTAAATATATCATATTACATGTACTCTTTTTGCAATCCTTTCATTTAACTAAGGATTATACACATTTTTAAGTCAGTCTTTTTACACCCAGTACCCAGAAGGAAGCGTGCTCGACCCCGCAATGTATAAATATTCTTGAACATATCCGCCTGCGCGTCTGTCTGTATGAACGCAAGGATCTCGAAAACTGTTAGAGCTAGAGTCCCAAAATTTGGTATGTACTTTGTGCTCCTAAATCTGCGAAAGGACATGCATTTGGCTTTTGATTTCAAATTCTTTGTAAACTCAATTGAATACTTTTTGTGCAATTGCTTTCCACTAAACACTCTACTTAGATCAACAAATTTCACAAATCTGCTTTCAAGTCGTATGAATTGGACCATATACTCGTATATATATGAAAGAAATTAAGGTAGGTCGATGGGTTGTGGGCAAATAAATAAATCTTTGAGCGATCATTTTGCTCGAGATATGTATATGCACCTATGAGGCAATTGCATCTCTGTTTGGATGAGACATCGCGTTAATTTGTTGCCACTGTGGGAGAGCTGACCACTTATCCACTTATCCACTTAATTTCATTTGAGTTAATTTATTAACAACAAAAACAACCCCACACACACACGCACAAACACACTAAGTACAAGTACTTGTGCACACACCCATCCCAAGTTGCTGTGTCACGCCCCTCCATGGCTTAACTGACAATTTGCATTTTAATCAGGTAGCAAAATTCTATTGAAAGCCGGCCGGCCGGCTGGCCAGCCGGTTTCTACATGTAGATCAGATTACCAAGGGCCCTGAAGGTCTCCAGAGATTGGGACGGGATGGGACGGGAGCGATGCAATTGCAGTGACAGGCAACTCGTACCTGAAACTGGTTCTCGAGCCTATGCCAGCACTAATGCGAACATACGAGTACTGTAAATCATTTGATAGAAAAAGGAAATAAAATATGAATGATGGCGCATACGATGGGCCCAGTAATTGCACTGATAGGCGCATGACAACTTGGCTCGGTTGGGCGGCAAGGGGGCGGGGATAGAGAGTGCAGAGAAGTTGTCTTTACCAGGCACATTAGCATTCACATGACATTGAGTTATGGATGATGTAAGGTTCGGCCTGGTCGAATGGGTTTTGAGTTCTTCAAATTCTTCAAATAGTAATGGTAATAATAAAAATCAAATTATAATACATAAGCGTACACTAAATGGTCTAATATTAATTTAATGGTCTCTCATAATTGCATCAGTTCAACGAAATATTCAGGTAGGTTATCAAAAAAGAAAAATAAATCTCAAATAAATAATTCTGGAAAACCAATAAGGCATCTGATTGTATTCGAAATCAATAAACTATCAAATAGTTAAGAGGTGTCTTGAAAAACTCGAGATAAACCTTAGCCCTGCAATGTATTAAGGGTATTACTTTTTAAGATTCGGATTTGTAACAAGAAGACGGAACGCCAATAACTAATTTCCAAATCTTCAATCATAAAACATTTCTACTTGTATGTAATGTTAGGTAATATTTTATATTTACAAGAATGACAAAAGTTATGTAACAGCCAGTAGGTGGCGTGGCAGACCCCATGTTATAGGTACATGAATACTCGAAATCAGCAGGACCGCCTGTCTGTCTGTTCGTCCGTATGAACACCGATAACTTTTGGACTATAACAGCTAGAGTTACGTAATGTTGCGTGTAGACTTGTCTTATCCATTTGTATCTATAAATTACTTTAATTTTGTTTAGATCTATTTGAATATCATCTAATCGCATCTGGTATGTACTAGCTATGGCATTGAACTTAACAACAACTAATCTAGCCTGTATGCTTAGTTTGGTTATTATGGCTCTTTTACTTTCTGAGATCTGTGCGTTCATTCAGACGGACAGATGTTCAGATATGTAGACTGTATATACTTACGTTCCTACTGTTCCCTTTGGAGAGGAGGCGGTACTTTGTTAAATGTTACCCAAATAATGACTGGAGAAAGTATTTTGTATCCACAAAATCGGTTATTCACTGTGCAATAACAAATAATAATGAATATTTTATTTTGGTGGTATAATAAACTATATATATATTCTAAAAATATTCAATTAATATATAATTTATATTTCGTATGATAAGATGTTTTACGAGCAGGTTAGCAGCTGCTTGGAGTGATGCGTTCTCAGCTGTTGTGCAATTTTGGACTTGGAAACAGCTGTTAAATAAAAAGCAATTTGAAGTTAACGAGATTTTCAAGTCAACATGATATATTATATAGATGATGATTAGATCAGAGGACCATCCTTGTTTTCAAATAGGATCGTCATGCTACCATTATGCCTCAAAGAGAACTTCTGAAAGATTTTGTACATCAGCTTGCAAGTGGTTGATGGAATTGTTTTGGTTTCAAAACCTGAACCACATGATTCATTTGCATTCGTTTTGAGCTGAGAGGATTCATGCATGGCTCTAAAAGACTACATACAGCTATAGAAAATAACATTATAATTGAGAGATAGTTGTGGCATTTCTCCATGATAAACAGTTTGTGTTTGGTATTTTAATTATCGTGGCACAGCTTAAAAGTAATTTCTCTCGGATTCATTTGGTTCTTCGCTGATTCATTTGCATTCGTTTTGAGCTGAGAGGATTCAAGCATGGCTCTAAAAGACTACATACAGCTATAGAAAATAACATTATAATTGAGAGATAGTTGTGGCATTTCTCCATGATAAACAGTTTGTGTTTGGTCTTTTAATTATCGTGCCACAGCTTAAAAGTAATTTCTTTCGGATTCATTTGGTTCTTCGCTGATTCATTTGCATTCGTTTTGAGCTGAGAGGATTCATGCATGGCTCTAAAAGACTACATACAGCTATAGAAAATAACATTATAATTGAGAGATAGTTGTGGCATTTCTCCATGATAAACAGTTTGTGTTTGGTATTTTAATTATCGTGGCACAGCTTAAAAGTAATTTCTCTCGGATTCATTTGGTTCTTCGCTGATTCATTTGCATTCGTTTTGAGCTGAGAGGATTCAAGCATGGCTCTAAAAGACTACATACAGCTATAGAAAATAACATTATAATTGAGAGATAGTTGTGGCATTTCTCCATGATAAACAGTTTGTGTTTGGTCTTTTAATTATCGTGCCACAGCTTAAAAGTAATTTCTTTCGGATTCATTTGGTTCTTCGCTGATTCATTTGCATTCGTTTTGAGCTGAGAGGATTCATGCATGGCTCTAAAAGACTACATACAGCTATAGAAAATAACATTATAATTGAGAGATAGTTGTGGCATTTCTCCATGATAAACAGTTTGTGTTTGGTCTTTTAATTATCGTGCCACAGCTTAAAAGTAATTTCTTTCGGATTCATTTGGTTCTTCGCTAATGAAGCTGCCCGGCCCGGCCCGGCCCGAGCTCGGGCTTGCTTGTCCAACTACTTATTGCCAAATGATCGTGGCTTCACACCCACCCCAACCCGTGTAGCGCACACGCCCCAGCCCACGCAGGTAGCCAAGTAGTGCCTAGAACGTTCAGAACTTGGACAGACAACAAACCAAAGATGAGCTGGCAGCCGTCTTTATCTTTTTTTTTTCTTTTTTGTTGTCGTATTTGTCTGTAGTTTAATGGAAAGATCAGCGGGAATACAAAAAATAAAAATAAAAATAAAAAAATGGGCAAACAGAAAGCGGCACCGGCTGAATTGGCAATCAGAGCGCCGAGAACAACAAAATAAACAAAAGAAGGCGCAAAAAATAAAACTAAAGCAAAACAATCATAAAAAAGGTAATGCAAAAAATAGCAAAACGAAAGAAAAAACCGCAAGCTAAGCTTATCGTCGACTGACGATAGACCCGGGGCTATAAAAGCGATCGCCGGCGAGCAGAGCGGCACAGTTGAGAACTGAACGACGATGATGATGTCGAGTGGGAGAATACTTTTGATGGCGGCGGCGACGCTGCTGCTGCTTCAGAATGCAATGGCCGAGGAGCCCATCTGTAAGTTCATTGCCAAACCCAACCTGGTAGTGTCTCGGTGACTTACTTTTGCTCCTGGTAGATCGCTTGTGTGTGCCGCAGATTTATCTGGACGATTGCCACAAGCTGCTGGCCGATCCCTCGGAGGCGGGTATACGCATGGAGTGTGTGGCAGGACGCGATCGTGTGGATTGCCTCGAGATGATCGAGCAACGGAAGGCCGATGTGCTGGCCAGTGAGCCGGAGGACATGTACATGGCATATCATCGCAAGAACCAGGACTACCGCGTCATTTCTGAGATACGTACGCAGGAGGACAAGGATGGTGAGTGTGGGAATAGTCCCAACAATGTTTATGAAGACTGCTTGATATAGACATAAAGAAATTATCTGCTACAAGCCAAATTAGTTTTAATTCCTGGAATAGGCCTACAAAATGCTGTCTCCAGACACATCCTGCAGCTTAGCTCAAAACTTTGAGAACAATACAAGCTAGATTTTAGGGCTAAGCAGAGAGATCTTCTGTTCTTCTGATGTGTTGACCAGAAAAGGATTTCCATTTCGTGATAAAATACTGTTGAGAATCCAGAGAAGTTTCTGTGAAATTTAGAAGCTTAGCTCAAAACTTTGAGATCAATACAAGATAGATTTTAGGGCTAAGCAGAGAGGTCTTCTGTTCATCTGATGTGTTGAAACCAGAGAGTGATTTCTTAAAATATATCCAGAAGAGTTTCTGTAGAATGGATAAATCCCAGACTAAGCCTTCAGTTTCAAAGATTAGAATACTTGATATACAAAATGCTGTCTCCAGACACATCCTGCAGCTTAGCTCAAAACTTTGAGAACAATACAAGCTAGATTTTAGGGCTAAGCAGAGAGATCTTCTGTTCTTCTGATGTGTTGACCAGAAAAGGATTTCCATTTCGTGATAAAATACTGTTGAGAATCCAGAGAAGTTTCTGTGAAATTTAGAAGCTTAGCTCAAAACTTTGAGATCAATACAAGATAGATTTTAGGGCTAAGCAGAGAGGTCTTCTGTTCATCTGATGTGTTGAAACCAGAGAGTGATGTCTTAAAATATATCCAGAAGAGTTTCTGTAGAATGGATAAATCCCAGACTAAGCCTTCAGTTTCAAAGATTAGAATACTTGATATACAAAATGCTGTCTCCAGACACATCATGCAGCTTAGCTTAAGACTTTGAGAACAATAGAAGCTAGATTTTATGGTTGAGCAGAGAGATCATCTATTCTTCTGGTGTGTTGAAACCAGAAAAGGATTTCCATTTCGTGATAAAATACTGTTGAGAATCCAGAGAAGTTTCTGTGAAATTTAGAAGCTTAGCTTAAAACTTTGAGATCAATAGAAGCTAGATTTTAAGGCTAAGCAGAAAGGTCTTCTGTTCATCTGATGTGTTGAAACCAGAGAGTGATTTCTTAAAATATATCCAGAAGAGTTTCTGTAGAATGGATAAATCCCAGACTAAGCCTTCAGTTTCAAAGATTAGAATACTTGATATACAAAATGCAGAAAAAGATTTCCATTCCATGACAAAATACTGTTGAGAATCCAGAAAAGTTTCTGTGAAATTTAGAAGCTTAGCTCAAAACATTGAGAACAATACAAGCTAGATTTTAGTTTCTGTGAAATTTAGAAGCTTAGCTCAAAACTTTGAGATCAATACAAGCTAGATTTTAGGGCTAAGCAGAGAGGCCTTCTGTTCATCTGATGTGTTGAAACCAGAGAGTGATTTCTTAAAATATATCCAGAAGAGTTTCTGTAGAATGGATAAATCCCAGACTAAACCTTCAGTTTCAAAGATTAGAATACTTGATATACAAAATGCAGAAAAAGATTTCCATTCCATGACAAAATACTGTTGAGAATCCAGAGAGGTTTCTGTGAAATTTAGAAGCTTAGCTCAAAACTTTGAGAACAATACAAGCTAGATTTTAGGGCTAAGCAGAGAGGCCTTCTGTTCATCTGATGTGTTGAAACCAGAGAGTGATTTCTTAAAATAATAAAAGAAAAGAATCCAGAGAAGTTTCTGTGAAATTTAGAAGCTTAGCTCAAAACTTTGAGATCAATTGAAGCTAGATTTTATGGTTGAGCAGAGAGATCATCTATTCTTCTGATGTGTTGCAACCAGATTGCCATTCCATGACAAAACTGTTAAGAATCCAGATAAGTTTCTGGAATATGTAGAAGGGATTAGGAATAAATGCCAGACTAAACATTCAGTTGCAAAAATAAATACTTGACTTCTCTGAAATGAGCATTTTTTTCTTCTTTTTTTCGGCTTATCCTTGCAGCTGATTTTCGTTACGAGGGCATCATATTGGTTAAGAAGACCTCCAATATACATACGCTGCAGGAGCTGCGCGGCGCCAAGTCTTGTCACACGGGCTTTGGTCGCAATGTGGGCTATAAGATACCCGTTACCAAGCTAAAGAACGCACATGTGCTGAAGGTTACGGCCAATCCAGAGATTTCCGCCACCGAACGTGAGCTCAAGGCGCTCTCCGAGTTCTTCAGCCAGTCGTGTCTGGTCGGTACATACTCCACCCTTGCCGAAACCGATCGTCTGCTGAAGAAGAAATATTCGAATCTGTGTGCGTTGTGCGAAAATCCCGAGCAGTGCAACTATCCTGATAAATATTCTGGCTATGACGGTGCCATTCGATGCCTGGACAAGGGCCAGGGCGAAGTGGCCTTCACTAAGGTGCAATACATCAATAAGTACTTCGGCTTAAGAGGCAGCAAGGACGCACCTGAGGGTAACGCAGCGGACTTTGAATATTTGTGCGAGGATGGTACACGCCGTCCCATAACCAATCCGGCCTGCTCCTGGGCTCAGCGTCCTTGGAGCGGTTATATATCCAACGAGCAAGCAGTGCATGGTGCCCAGGAGCTGAAGCAGCTGCAGACACGCCTGGAACGCTTCTTTACCAATGGCCTGCACGCCCAGAATAAGGAGGCCGCCGCCCATTTGCTCATCAACTCGAATGCCGTTTACCACAGCAAGCCGGAGGCAATCGATCCCAAGGTTTATCTGGAGCGTGCTGGCTACAAGGATGTGATTGAACGTGATGGCAGTGCAATTCGCAAGTTGCGCCAATGCGTACAGACCGATGTGGAGTTCGACAAGTGTGAGGGACTTAGGCGGGCCGCCTATGCGAGAGACGTGCGTCCGGAACTGGAGTGCGTGCAGGCGACCGATTGCATTGAAGCCGTGAAGACTGACAAAGCGGATCTGGCACTCGTGCCGGCTGTTGACTATGAGGATGCTCGTGAGCACAAGCTCCAGCCTGTGGTCTATGAACATTTGGCCGATGACGATGTCTACGTTGCAGTGGCGCCTCCTACGCTTACGCGGGAAGCTCTGCAAACGGTCCCCATGTAAGTAAAGACTTTAATCCTTCACCTATCAAGATAATGGACAATATTTCTGTCATTTAGAAACTACGATGCCAAAGATGAGCGCGCGCGCATAGCGTCCGCTTTCTTGAACAAGCGCCGGGGCATAGACGTTTGCGGTCAAACTCCTAGTACTGAAGAGCAACTACTCGTTGTGCATGCCCGCGAGCTTGAACAGCACAAGGACTGGCAGCTAGTGTGCGCCAATTTCGAGCGCAAGCCCGTGACCGAGTTCCGTACCTGCAACATTGAAGTCCAATTGCCGAAGGCAGTGTTTGTGCGTGATTCCAGCACACCTGTAGAGCAGGACACTGTCAAGCATATGTTCTCGCTTATCTCGACCAAGTTTGGCGCCGCCGGCAAGCTTGTCGATGTCTTTAATCTGTTTGGACCCTATCAGAACGGTCAGCTGAATGTCCTATTCGATGTAAGTCACAGTTGTTTTTGTTTGTTTATTGGATGCTTATAGTATACTTCAATTACTTGCAGGACAAGGCCATTGATTTGCAGACTGAAATAAAGGGTACTTACCGGAACGAGCACATCTATAACGAACTGACGTGCGAGGGCAACAAAATTATCAAGCACTAAGCCGAACATTTTTGTCAAGGCTGTTTTGCAATAAACTACTCCTTTTTTTTGTTTTGTCTATCATTAAACATATAAATGAAATTTTTTGTTATACTGTGCCCCTCGTTGGGCTCCAGATATTATTGAGGGCCATGGACTTTTGCTAGGGCAACAAAATTATGACGCAGTATAGCTGTTTTAAAATAAACTACTCCTTTTTTTGTTTGTATATCTTATACATATACTCGAACATTTTTGTTTTACTGTGCCCCTTGTTGGGCGCCAGATGGTATTGAGAGCCATTGAATATTGAGGGCAACAAAATCATCGAGCAGTAAGGGTGTTTTTCAACAAACTACTCATTTTCTTGTGTTTTATACATCACTTTATATTCGTATATATGTGCCCCTCGTTGGGCGCGAGATATTATTGAGGGCCATGGACTTTTCAATGATATAAACTCAGAGTCTTCATGGCAATACAGTTTTACAAAAGACGCCAATTCGAGAGGCGAGCAAATAACATATACTTATGCAAACGGGCTCATGAAATCATGGATTAGAGCGGGCCCTTTAGGGCGCCTTTAAATAAGAACTACAAATTGAAATTACCGCCATTTTTGGTTTTATTAGAAAAAAACGCGCTATATATATGGCTTACGGAACCAACTAGTATATGTGTATATATGTTTGTTTATCTTTATGGGTAAAATCGAATTATATGCCGATCTCTATGAGTGCACTCAGTTGACGAGTCTTGAACGCCGTAGCGGCATGAGGTTTAACAGAAAGAAGAAAAAAACACATTATTGAAATTCGTTGATTTATGAGAAAATCCGATTTGTGATTTAATCCGAGGTGTCGCGTTTCTCTTCGGCCGCCGGTTTTTTGACTTGCTCTTTGCCTGCGGGTGCCTCCTCCTCCTCAGAGTAGTCTTCATCGTGCGTGTGTGTCACCACGGTGGGTGTAGAAGGTCGTGTATGGACAATGGAGCTCTGGAAAAGAGTAGAATATAGTTGGAATTCTTTCAGACAAGAAGCTACACTTACCGCTCTATGCAAGTCCTTGCCTTCCTTGCCATCTTTTGCCTCCTTGGCCTCCTTAGCCAGTGTCGTTGCCAATATTTCTTCGCTACTACTTATGGCGCCGCGCACCGTAGCGGTTGTCGCTGGTGGCAGATGGGGTGGGGGTGGCTGATGGGCCTGATCGTGTGCCACCGTTGACTCGTGCGGCAGGAGCATTGAAGGAGCACGAAACATGTAGGAAAACGGATAGTAGATGAGGTTGAGCAGTGTGGCCGCATAGACATCAGCATATCGAACCACTTGACTGGAGAAGAAGGTCTGACGGGACCCAGAGCGGAAGAGTGACCCCATCATGCCATAGGACATGTCCATCTTGTGTGTGACATCGCGTATACAATTGCGAAGCTGTGAGATATCCGGCTTGAACTTGGCACTAGAGTCCAGATCGCGATAGAGATCGCCCAGCTTAATGTCCAGATTCTGAAGCTCAGCAAACAGCTGGCACTCATCGGTCCACACGTGTAGCTCACGAACCAGTTCGGGTACAATAAGGAAAGTGCGCCAGCCGCGTATTTTCTTCGACTTGAGTATGTCGCCAAAGATGTGATCCCCCACATAGAGCACATCCTTGCCCTTGGCATTTATGAATTTGGTGAAGAGTTCACAGGAGCCACCGGAATAGACTTGACCCGGCTGCAAGGGACCAATGTGTGTACCAATCTTGAGGGCACCTGTTTTGGTGTCCACTTGCCGGAGAACGGTACCCTCGTCGAAAAAGAGCGGCTTCCGGGCATCCACCACAATCACATCGAAATAGGTCTTCCAGTCGCGATGTGGCTCATCCGGATTGGCACCGTGCGGAAATTCAAAGAGGTATGTCATTATCTCATTGGTATACGTATAGTCGCTATTGGTGAGCATGAAGAGCTTTGCGCCCGATTCGCGTATACGCGATAGTACAGTGGGCAGACGCTTGTCCTTCTTCACATAATGAGCCATGTTCTAGATAAATAAGATTATAAATCGGTCAGTATTTACATATATCAAATGTATAAAGGGGGAGTTATTGATAACGATTAGTGGTTCTCCTATCTTTCATAAATATCGAAATTTCCAATATTTTCTGCTACTAGTCTCCTCGAAGAAGCAGTTGTCTTCGGTTGTGCCGAAGCTATGTATTCTCTATATATTCTCTCTACTCTTCCAAATTTGTAGAGTAAATAATTGTTTAGTTATTAATGTCTGATCCCATTAAAGATAACAATAAAATTGAATTTTGTTCTGTTATCGATTAATTGAATTTATTTTTGTAGTCAACATCGATAATTTTACAGCTCTGTCATATAATACTTATGTATATTAAAATAGATCGGAAGTTTAACGATCTAATATCTTATTATAAATAATGCTGTTAGTGGAAGGTGTTAACAAATTTATATATGGGTGGCAAGTAAAACTGCCAAATCTGAACTATTACAATAAATGACTTTCCAGAACTTGCAGCATTGTTTCAGAGTATTGATTAGAGTTCTTATGCCTAATAAATGGGTTCAGTTTATCTTTTCTGACTGTGAATGAAGTGAATCATTTTATATTCACTTCTTAATTTTATTTATTCATTGTTTTCATTCACGAATGACTAATTCATTATTTTTATTATGTTGCGATTCGGCCTTTAACTTTGGCCATAACACCACAGTTTTACAGAATTCTAAGACTGCAGGTAATTGTTAAATCATTGCTTATGCGATGATAGTAGCGCCGTGATTCAAACCGTGAGTCAAATCTAGCCTGCTGGTTCCACATTTTGGCCACTTATTTACGCTTCAACAACCAGAGGTCCAAAAATGTTAAAAAGTATACATATTTATATTTACTCTTGCAATAAAACGCACATATTATGGTTGACAAAAATTGTTAAATACGAAATGGTCATCGGCGCATTCTAAATTATTGTTATACCCTGTGCCCAAAGGATGAAAGGGTATACTAGTTTTGTGCGCTCGTATGTAACAGGCAGAACGAGGCGTGGTAGATCCCACAAAGTGTATGTATATATTTTTTTGATCAGCATGATAAGACGAGTCGATCTATGTCTGTCTGTCTGTACGAACACCTGGATCTCAGCGACTATACGAGCTAGAGACACCAAATTTAGCACAAAGCTGCCTTAGTAAGAAACTTGTTTATTAAAATAAAACAAAATATGTATAAATTAGAAACTAAATAAAATAGATTTAAAAAAACAAAAGAAGATTGATTTAAATAGCAATAACCGAACACGCAGAGATGTGAAATGATAATGACCTATGTTCTGATGAGACTATATGAGTTAGAGACACCAAAGATGCCTTAGTAAGAAACTTGCTTATTAAAATACAACAAAATATAAATAAATTAGAAATTAAATTAAATAGATTTAGAAACAAAAGAAGATTGATTTAATTAGCAATAACCGAACAAGCAGAGATGTGAAATGATAATGACCTATGTTCTGATGAGACTATATGAGCTAGAGACACCAAAGATGCCTTAGTAAGAAACTTGCCTATTAAAATAAAACAAAATATTAATAAATTAGAAATTAAATTAAATAGATTTAGAAACAAAAGAAGATTGATTTAATTAGCAATAACCGAACAAGCAGAGATGTGAAATGATAATGACCTATGTTCTGATGAGACTATATGAGCTAGAGACACCAAAGATGCCTTAGTAAGAAACTTGCCTATTAAAATAAAACAAAATATTAATAAATTAGAAATTAAGTTAAATAGATTTAAAAAAAAACAAAAGAAGGTTGATTTAAATAGGAAGAACCGAACACACGGAGGTGTGAAATGTTGATGAGCTCCGCCTTTCGTTGGCGACATAAATATAGTTTGACAGCTAAGAAAAGTGTTGGAAAATATAAATAAATAAGTGCTGTAAATGATGTTTACCACCCTACTTTGATATTGAAATGAAGCTCATTTGCCTTAAATGCAAATGCTGGCCGTGGACCACTAAAAATTCAAAAGGAAATGCGAATGTTTGTGGGACTGTTATTGGTAAATCAACTTACTTCAAATACCAAGTCTGGTGAATATGTGCATATGTATGTATGTATATGCCCAAAATTTGGTGTCTCTATCTCTTATAGTCTCTGGGATCCAGTTGTTCAATCAGACAGACAGACAGACAGACGGACAGGGCTAGATCGACTCGTCTTGTCATGCTGAACAATAATAAATATACTTTGTGGGGTCTTAGTGCGCCTCCTTCTGCCTGTTACATTGTTCAGCTCGTGCAAACCTAATATAAATATTCTTGTACATTTCATGTACAGAGTATAAAAATACCGCTATTTATTTCATTCCAAAGAGAGTGTACAGATGGCGAGATAAGCTGCACATTTTGAAGCTATTCGAAACTATCACAAATATTTTGTATTCAAGAATTTCTTATGTCGACCCTCTTGAACCAAATCAAGGGCTACCAGACACAGGAATACAAATATAGGTTTTATTATTTTACCCAATTATGGTTGACTACAACTATTGTACAAGTACTTTAAGGGGATATCCTTCCTTAAAATATCTTCCTAGGCAGTACACACTCGTGGGATTAGTATAAATAGTCATGTAGGCCATGCTACTTACCTGAGTGGTGCGGCGCTTCAAGTCACCATCGGAATGCACCCAGTCGACGGCGCGGCGCACGTCCTGGAAAATCGACTTATAGGTAAAAAGAAAATCACCAGCTTTGATGCCGCGTTCAACGCTGTAGAGTAGAGTATAAGAATAAGAAGTAGAAGAAGAAGACGTGTTAAGTATGATGTGTGTGGTTCTGTGGATCAAGAAGCAAGAAGCAAGAGCTCGGTCTAAGTTTAGGGGGGGAATGGGAGCTGGGCCCAGACCCGGACCTGGAGGAGCAAGCTTAAAGGAGTAATGAGCGGCCAAAACAGAGTGTCAAAGGCAGAAAATGCGTATGTATGTGTCAGCCTGTGTGTGTGTGTGTGTGTGTGGCAAAGTTTTGGACTTAAGTCTGCTGCTGGCTGAACTTTTTAATTAAATTTACGCTGCCTATTTGTAATTGCGAAATTTGCTAAAACACACCCACATCCACATTCACATACTCGTAGTCATATGCAAAAAGTTGAAGGCTTTGTGCAACTGAAGACGACGCTTTTCCGTGTATTTGTTTCCCAACACAAATTGTGCGTGCTCGTCACTTTTTGACTTTGGGGAAAAGTTTTACTACGGGCCTTACCGAACAAATTCGCTGCTATTGGTAAAGAAATCCACTAGACAGGCCAGCAAATAGGTTTCCGGCAAATTGAAAAGCGTATTCAAGACATAGACACGGGACTCGTCCAGTTTGAGAAACTTGTTCGGATACAGTTCGTACACCTGGTGGCTAGAGAGAGAGAGAGAGAGAGAGCGAGAGAGAGAGACCCATATTAGTGATATATATTCGATAGTCTCAGTTGTTTAGAACCTACTGTTTGATGAACTCAAAACCATGCACACAAACAAGAATATTGCCGTAGGCGTCGACCTTCAGCAAGTTTCCGTAGAGCGTATCAAACCAGAGACCTCTCACGGGAAATGTCGGATCATACTCGAACTGCAATATCTCTTTTGGGTAGCCCATTGAGACCAAACGCTCCTTGACCAAATTAAAGCCAAGTTGCTCATACTGCGGCGAATTGTATTCTGCAAATAATTCATGGTTAGCATTTAAATAAACTTGCTTAGAAACTCACTCTACGCACCGGCCAATGTATAGTCCATGTCGAAGCCATAGTACTTGATGTTTTCCAAATGCAGCGATCTGTTGACAAAGACTCTGCAAAATCAAAGTGAAAAACAAAATTCGAACATTAATGAATTGTTCAGTAAATACTTAAAATGAATTCGGTATTTAGATAAAACTAAGTTTAAGTATCAAGTAAAACGAGTGGAATGTCCCGATTTTAGTGACGATATCGTAACTATCGAATGTGTTTATTTTTCTCGTGCAATGTTCGCTCAGAAACCCTACAAGTATATAGCATGCGATATCGTACGAAACTGTAAATTATATTTCCACTTTTTTATATTTTTAACGAAAGCTGTTATGTTTGCGATGTTCATAAGGACATATCTATATTGATTTGTCTTATTATACATACTATATATATATATATCAGAAAATGTAATCATTATAAGTGTTATATAAAAATTACAAAACAATGATTATTTTTTTATTTCACCATTTAATAATTAATTTGGAGTTCTACCTTACAAAAGCAAAAAAAATAAATAACAAAGATTATTCTTTACGTTTTATTTTTGCTTAAAAATAAAACTCAAGTTGTAATTTTGCCTTTTTCGTGGGAATAAGGACAAAATTTTTATATATCCTTAAACAATGACAACAAAATAAATAAACAACAAAAAAATAAAAATATATGTATATAGTAGATATATTTGGTACCAGTATTTACAAAAAATTATCATTGTTTTAATTTTTTCTTAAAAATTGTACATAAAGTAAACTTAAAAGCAATCATTATATTGTGAGAGAATGAATAAAACAAAAATATTTCAACCGTGGTGAATAAGCATAGATAATCCTTAAAGAAGGATATTGGCATAAAACTACTATGCGAGCTTGGGTTTTCCGCTTTAAAAAACAAAATAATCATTATTTGCGGTCCCTAATACATACCAGTTATAAATAAATATACATGTACCAGTAGTCTATAAAAAGTGCATTTAATTGAAAGTTTTTAATTGGCTCTTTTGTCCAAAATCAGTTCTCTACTTCAATGGCTGCTAGATCCAAGGACTGCTAAGAATTTTCAATTTAAATACATTTCACCCTATATCCTGAAACTAAAGGATCTTTTTTAATATCCAAATTTTACTATTTAAGAATCGCCATTTAAATAATGGTCGATTAAAAATAACACCGGGAGCTTCAAAATTCAGCTTGTCATTTATTTCAAGCACAATGATCGGCAGAATCGAATCTTTGTCTTGTTTAATATTCTCTTTAGATGCTTTCATATAAAAAAAAAGTGTTTACAAGTAATTTAGCATAAAAGTGTCATTGTTGTGCAAAAGTTCCGTTATAATTTAAAACAAAAGTCAATTGGTTTTTGGACGGAGCGCAGAATTTGTCACAAAATGGAGAGAGAAAAGGGGGAACAGATGCGAATAATACCTCCTAAATTAAGAAAGTCTGAGCAAAGGAAATGGACAGATGGAAGAGCTATAACGATTGTCCTATGCCAACAAGCCTCAAATTCCTTAATGGGATTAATCAACTGATATTCTCTATATCTATTTGATGGCGTAATGTTGACAGTGAACGAAGAAAGGAAGAAATTCCTACGACTGCTTAAAATTGTTTTAACACATTATTGCAGCTTTGGAATTTTCGTTATATTCGTTTTTGTAATAAATTTGTTGTTTTCATTATTTACGTAGCATTACAAAATATTTCAAAATGGTACAAAATGTACTTTTAATCTTGCATGAAAAACATTGCATTCATCATTATTTTGTTGACGTCAAATATGCAAATACAAACGCGTTTAATTATTATTGCAATTAATTATCAGTTGCTGCTGCTGCTGTTGTTGTTGTTGTTGTTGCATTTTTGTGTCAAAAGTGTCAAAAGTTTATCAATACCATGCGGAAAATTCGAATCATTGCCCCATTCAAACGGCTGGCTTTAAATTATGTGCAAAGTTTTCCACACGGCATCATGCAACTATGCTCGACATTTCATAAAATGCAATGTAATTTTCAATTTACAATTTGTGGCCCATTCCTGCGGTTGTCCAATTTTGCTGATCATTCATCGAATTTAACCGAATTTCCCTCTATATGTATATGTATGCAGTATGTATGCGGTCACAAGCCCTGCATTTACATTCGCTATACCCTACACGTTAGGTGAAAGGTTTAATTGGCTATGGCACATGGGTTTGAATAAGGGAAGAATATGTTTTAGGCATTATTCCGAGCTCTAAAACGTCTATTAAATAAATAGTTAAGAGTGCCTGTATAGCTGTTATTGAAATCTGATTAGATTGGTAATCAGCCGTTTTAAAATTTTCAAAATTCAATACTATATATTATTTAATTTATATTATAAGCCTATTTAATGAAAAACTTTGTATCATGCTGACCGTCCAATGCACTCTTACTATTTATACTTATTTTCCAAGTAAAAATCTACACACAAATTTATTTTATTTGATTTTTTTTTGAGAATTTTGCATGGGAATTGTTAAAATAATTTCAACAACATAATTCTTCACAATTAAGAAAGAGAGAAATGCAAACATATGTACACGTCTTGCCCTGAGTTGTTTGGCATTGCAAATTCTTTAAACAAACTAGCACAACAGTAGCCTTTGTAAGTTTCTCAACAGATACAGCATAATATCTGTTAAAATGTTAAGCAAACAATAACCCCAAAGACACATATACTTGTAATACATTTTTTTCTGAGAAAAGTAATGGTTTTACGATTTGCTAAAAGTGCTCAACATTTCAAACAAGAGATATTTTTGGCACTACTGAGTTGCCGCCAATACACAACATTTATATTTTCGTTAATACTCTCATTGCACAAAAATCTTTTGTATACAAATAAGTTGGAGTTGACAGGGATTTCTATAGCATTGCTAAAAGCAACTATATGTTTTTCAAAAGAATCTATTATATATCTAAATTGTTTGTTGAGGAGTTTTTTGCCCAAAGAAACGAAATCTGACCATGGATCGATGTTTACGATGTTTCGATGTTTTTCGGGGAAGCACATCACTTTATCGATGCACCCAATTTCTATTAACGAATTTTTAAAAATGTTTTATTGATGTTTAAACATAGGGAACTTTTTTTTTTATTTGTTATATTATTTAAAAAGCTAAGGTTTTGTATTAAAAGGTTTCAAAACAAATGATATTTTCACAAATTCAAAGAATATAACAAAGAAAGAATAACATACAAAAGAAAAATTCAGTGGTGGACAAGTAGTCGAACTAGAACATCGGGCATAAAACATCGATGTCTAAAAAAAAGATTATAACATCGATGTATCGTTGTTACATCGTTGTTTCGTTCGGCACTAGTAAGAATAGTGGGTCTCGGCACAGCCCAGGATATTTATTTATTTAAGTATTTCTCTTTTTAAACCCTGTAGCTGTGCTGGCAGAAGGAAGCATCTCAGCGAGCCCATAAAGTAAATGTATTCTTAATCAACCTGACGGGACGGATCGATCTAGCCATCACCGTCCGTCTGGATGAACGCCGGGCTTACGGAAACGGCTGAGCCCACATTGACCCAACTTGGCATGTAGGCTCTCCCTATTTATTTATTATTTGTTTTATTTTTTTGATTTTATAATAATTTTCTACTCTTGGTTTAAACTCTTTTGTTTAAATCGTTGAGTTCTTCTTTTTACTTCTACTATGGACGCTTTAAAGTTTTTTTTTTGTTGCGGTACAGAGTATTTCACAGTCGGAATTGCTCAACTGGTTTTATTTTATTTTTTTTTTGGTGGCAACTTTTTGTGTTAGCAATTAGTGCGACAAAATTGTTGTTGTATACTATACGTAGTTGATGGAGGGCAACGCCTACAGCCACAACTACAGCTGTGAACAGGCAGCTGTGGGCGGGAAAGTGCCCCGCCCCCGACAGGAGCATTAACGAACAGCAAAACTCATTAGCCGCATGAAAATTGGGAATGGCTGACTGCTCATTTCTTTTAGTCCTTTATGGCACATGCACTTTGCGTTTTTTTTTTGTTTTCTTTATTGGCACACATTCTTGCTCTTGGCTCGAGTGTGTGTATGTGTGTGTGTTTATTTATTTGGTGTCCTTTTTTTCAATTTGGCTCACTTGAAAATTTGCCAAATAAGCACAAACTTTGGCCCCGTGAAGTTCGCTGTTGTTGTTGTTGTTGCTGTTGTTAGCCCAAATTCGGACAAAGGGCATAAATCTGATGCAGTCGAGCCATACACACATACATACATATGTATGCATATATACGCGCATATAGGTGTGCTGAAAAATTGGCGCACTTGGTCATCTTTAATTGAAAATTTTTAAAACTTCGCTACTATCTTTATATCCATTGTTGTTTCAAATAATATATATATCCCCACCAGATTGTTGTATTCATTACATAATCTACAGTTGGGTCCTGGGATGAAGAAGAAGTTGTTGTAGTAACTGTTTATGGAGCCACATAAATCTACAGCACTAGGGAAGAAACCGAGATACTACTTCTAATAAAATATTTCAGGAAGCATTGAAAAAAAAACCAACTGCAATTTTTTGATTTCGGAAAAACAATATTCTGCGAGATATAGAATTTGATATCCAGCATAGACGTAGGCTTTGGAAAGGCTCTTTACTCGTTCCTTCCTTATTAAGCACGTTATTTTGGCGTAAAAGTCTTGGAAATCAGCATAAAAATAATATTTATTATTTATTTATTCATACACAAATAATAATGTCATTTATTGCATTTATCAATTAACAGCAAGCACATTTGAAGATTATTCCCCATACAGATATAAAAATTGAGAAATGCTGAAATAAAAGTACAGCAGTAAAATAAATTGTTGGCCCTATTAAGAATATTATGAGATGAAAACGCTTTTACATATAATTGTTATGTACAGAATTGTCTACAAATGTTTGTTACAGGAGACACTTTTATTTCTAAATTAACAGTTATATGAGGTCTATAATCTTGGTGTAGAAACAAATTGAAATCTTTTCTCAACCTATCTTCTTTATAAGATTGTGTGTTCTTGCGGATATTGCTAGCTATGGAGAGG